AACAGAGCAGGAGGGTCTGCACTGTTCAGGACTGAACTTGTTATTAGTACAGAGTGACATAAAGCCTCCAGCAGACACCCATCCAAATAATCATCAGATCCTATCATGATATGTTCAATTTATTTCTTTTTAGACAAAAGTGAAATCCTTCCTCAATGCTCAAAAAACCACCTATGCAGTCCTTCCATTGATTTTTGTTGAACATTAAAATGAGTTGATCATCTTTAATTCAGGTAACCTACCCTTCAGGTGATTGGAATTTGTGTTGGTTTTATTTCCAGTAAGATATTTTTCCTAGTGTGGTAATGCTTATGTTATCCCTCATAACATAAGAAACTAGGTGTGGATAACATAGTATTGATATTTATTACAGCTGACCATTATATATAATGATTACAGTCACAGACACTTAAGAGTCTGGGCTAATAATAGTTTATTGACTTACAAACAAGACCATAACTTCAACAGTGTTTCATGCTTCAGGTGACCCTGGTAAGGTTGGAGTCTACAATCTTTATACCATTAGGTCATATGCTATAATACAGTGATGACATCATGAACACGCCTCCTAAAAGTATATTGATGCACTAACCATGAAACACAACACAACATAAATTCTAACTCACATTCATTTATTTTATCATTTTCGGTATCTGAAGCAATAATGTCCAGATTTGGTGGTTTTCAGAGCTGACACATCTGTAGTTGTTATGGAAATTGGTTGCAACTAATTACTAAAACTTTGTCTGAAATATAACAAATGGTCACAAGTGGTCTGGATGAATCCTTTTATTTGTTCATGGGATGAGGGCATCGTGGGCTAGGTAGCAATTGTTGCCCATCCCTAATTGCCCAGAGGGCAGTTAAGAGTCAACCACATTGCTGTGGGTCTGGAGTCATACATAGGCCAGACCAGGTAAGGATGGCAGCTTTCTTACCTTTAATGTAAAGGACATTAGTGAACCAGATGGGATTTTCCAACATTTGGCAATGGATTCACAGTCATCATTTAGACTTTTAATTCCAGATATCTATTGAATTCAAATACTACTATTTGCCGTGGTGGGATTCAAACCCAGATCCTGGGAATGTAATCTCGGTCTCTGTATTAAAAGTCCAGCGATAATACTACTAGGCCATCACCTCCCCTAGAACAATGACTAACTCCTCTTAAAAATACAATGCCAAATTATCACTGGGCTGTGATAAATGTTCTTAAATCCTTGAAGCTGCTGGATTTGTTTGCTATCTGTGACCACAAGAACCACCTATTTGGCAAAACTATAAACACAAAAATTGATTTCATTTATAGCCATATAAATTAATTCCTCCAGATATATTCAATTTAGCAAGTTTAAAGTTCTGTAATGTTCAAAAAATGTACATTTTCATTTAGCAAACTAGAGATTATTGGGTAAGGTAAGGTGCTAGCGTACAGGGTGAACTCTCCGCTAGTTTGTAAAAAGGCAGAGCAAAATTTCTGAAGGGTACATAACGAATCAATAGTATTTTTTAAAAACCAAGGATAAGAACCATTTGTTCAAACAAATTCTGACTAATTTCTTTCAAAATGAGAATACTTAAAAAGATCAAAAGAGCGAACTAAAAACTTAATTGTGCTTTTCCAAATTCCGAACTTTTAGATCCTTTTTGTTCCAAAGTCTCTTCTTCTGGTTATTTTGAGTTTGTGTTTGTGTGTGTGTGAGTGAGAGTGAGAGAGGCGTGTCCATGTGTGTGTGTGTGTCCGTGTGTGTGTGTGTCCGTGTGTGTGTGTGTCCGTGTGTGTGTGTGTCCGTGTGTGTGTCTGTGTGTGTGTCTTCAAATTCAGTCAACTGGATAGTTAGTTTGCGATGCAGAGTGATACTAACAGTGTGGGTTCAATTCCTGCTCTGGCTGAGGTCATCATGAAGGACCATGTGTGCAACTGCATGAGATTGGAGAGATACTAAATAGGTATTCCACATCAGTGTTTATTATGGAGAAAGAAGCGGAAGACGGAGAATGTGTGGAAATAAATAGTGATATCTTGAAAAATGTCCATATTACAGAGGAGAAGGTGCTGGACATCTTAAAATGCATAAGGTGGATAAATCCCCAGGATTTGATCAGGGGTGCCCTATAACTCTGTGGGAAGCTAGGGAAGTTGTTGCTGGGTCCCTTGCTGAGATATTTGTATCATCGGTAGCCACAAATGAGGTGCCAGAAGCCTGGAGGTTGGCTAACGTGGTGCCACTATTTATGACAGCTGGTAAGGAAAAGCCACGGAACTATAGACCGATTGGCCTGACATTAGTGGTGGGCAAGTTGTTGGAGGGAATCCTGAGGGACAGGTTTTACATGTATTTGGAAAGGCAAAGACAGATTGGGGCTTGTCAACATGGCTTTGTGCATGGGAAATTATGTCTCAGTGTAGTTGGGAGTTGCACATGTGGACCCTACAGAATCCTCATTGTAGTAGACTCTGAAGAAACTGCCCAGAAAATTAAAATTGCTGCTGAGCAATTCTGCCGCACCTGAAACCCAAAATAAAATATCCACTTACAGCAGAAAATTCAGAAGGTTCTGATTAAATTAACTAAATATATACTTTGGAAAAGTTATATTGTTAAATACATCATCCAACTCCTGAGTGACGATTGAACTGACTCCATACTTAAATCACACACCTACAACTGCATCTCTACCAGAGCCCTGACATTCGTACCACACAAATACCAGGCTATGGCCATCAAGAAGAGACAATCTAACCAATGCTCCTTGACATTCAATGATGTTACCATCGCTGAATCTCCTACTATTGACATCCTTGGGGTTACCATTAACCAGAAACTCAACTGGACTCACCACGTAAACACAGTGGCCACAAGAGCAGGTCAGAGCCCAGGAATACTGTGGGAAGTAATGCACAACCTGACTCCCCAAAGTCTGTCTACTGTCTACAAGACACAAGTCAGGGGTGAGTTGAAAAACATTCTACTTGCCTGCATGGGTGCAACAACACTCAAAAAGCTTGATACCATCCAGGACAAAGTAGCCCGCTTGAGTGGCACCACATGGCAACTGTTCTTCTCAAGTTCACAAGGAACTATAGAGAGTGGTGGACACAGCCTAGCCCATCATGCAAACCAGCCTTCCATCTACTGACTCCATGCATACTTCCCGCTGCCTGGGAATGCAACCAACATAATCAAAGACTCCTCCCACCCCAGTTATACTCTCTTCAATTGAGGAGAAGTATAGAAGTTTGAATACACACATGAACAGATTAAAGAACAGCTTCTTCCCCACTCTTACCAGACTTTTGAATGGACCTCTCAAATTTTAATTCTGATTTCTCTGCACCTTCTCCACAGCCATAACGCTGTAATCTGGCCTCTGTCCTGTTACCCTGATGCACTTTGTATGGTACAATCTGCCTGTATAGCAAGCAAAACAACAGATTTCACTGTACCTCGATACATGTGACAGCAATAAATTAATCAATCACTCAATCCACAAGCATCCAACCCCTCTGCCACTGACGCTCAGTAGCAGCAGTATTTTCCAATCCACAAGATGCACTGCAAGATCCATCAAAGCTCCTTAGACAGTACCTTCCATACAAATGACCACTACCACTTAGAAAGAAAAAGGCAGCAGATACATGGGAACACCACCAAGTTCCACTCTAAGCCATTTCCTGTTTTGACATGGAAATAAATCACCATCCCTTCACTGTTGCTGGGTCAAAATCCTGGAATTCGAGAGGGAATAGGTCAAAATACAGCACGTGAAATGCAGCAGTTTAAGAAGGCAGCTCACCACCACTTTCTCAAGGGCAACTAGAGACAGGCAATAAATACTGGCCTAGCCAGCGATGCCCACATCCCACGAGTGAATGAAAAACATGGTGACCTCCCTCCTTTTGAAAAATAGGAGGGCGCAGAGTGGCAATCAGTGTAAGGTTGCTTCTCCTTGGAAAATCTGGCCTTTTGTTTTATCTGCCCTTTTAATTCATCTTGCAATCCTTGTTGATTTTCATTTAAATTTATAAAGTGTTGAATCTACAATCCCAAAGACTCAGAGGTGATAACCTAGTGGTATTATCGCTGGACTATTAATTGAGGAAACTCTGCTAATGTTCTGGTTCGAATCCTGCCAAGATAGATCATGGAATTTGAATTCATTTTTTAAAAAAAAGTTGGAATTAAGAATCTCCCAACAACCATGAATCTGTTGCCAATTGTCAGAAAAATCCACCTGGTTCACTAATGTCCTTCAGGGAAGGAAATCTGCCATCCTTACCTGGTCTGGCCTACGTGTGACTCCAAACCTACAACAATGTGGTTAACGCTCAAACTGACCTCTGAAATGGCCCAGCAAAGCCACTTAGTTCAGGGGTATCTAGAGACAGGCAATAAATGCTGGCCAGCCAGCAATACCCATGTTCCAAGAGCGAATTTCTAAGAAATTCACAGTGTCGGGAAGATAAATGCATTACCACTTGGACTATTCAACCATCATCTGCACAAATGCTTGATTATACACATGCATGCCATCGAAAATTTTCACATAACGAACTTCGCATTCTCCATTCTCACATCTTAACAACTGGAAAGTCAAAGCTAAAAATTTATATGTGCTTTCAAAAGAAAGAAGATGTAGGAAATAAATTATATCTGTTTTTTTTACTTTTCTTTCTTCATGTACTTTCAAACAACTGTGTTGGAAACTAAGGAAAAAATAAATTTTCACATGAAAGCATTCCCCTTTACTCAGATGGCACTCAGCAGACTTCATATTGACAAAGTACACGTGTAGCGCAGACGCTATCTTGATATTACTGGAGACCATGTAGGGCCCAACATGCACTTACTATAAAAATCCTGCGTCCATTCGCCGCAAGCCCTCCATTGCCATTAGTCTAAATGAATGGTGGATGTGATCAAAGTTAAATGGAGTGTTTGAGAGAATGAGCGATTATATTTAAACTAAAGATCTTAACATTCTGTATTTTGCAGTTCTGCGTGCATTTCAATAACCTTGAGAAACCAGGGACCTGATGCTTTTAAACCCGAATTATATGGCAAAGCCATCATAGTGGAACAAACTATTTCAGCACAGGGAACAAGACAGTACAGTTTGAAGAGTGAATCAGGTAAAAGAGAATTTCTTTTTAAAACAACAGCTACTTTGTGGTTTGGGAGAAGCACAGTTTTTTTTGCACAAAATGTAACACTATTATGTTTTTACAAACATTGCATAAAGACATTTTGAATATGACAGCATTTTTTTCTTGATTTGTTGTCATTTCCTTTACTAATACAAAATTTTGTTTCATCTGATAAAGATGGATAGGGGATCAATCACATAAGGACATTGGCCAGGTAGGGGAAAGTAGATAATCATTTGCCTTATCCAAACCATGATGTAGAGGTACTGGTGTTGGACTGGGGTGGACAAAGTCAGAAGTCATACAACACCAGGTTATAGTCCAACAGGTTTATTTGAAATCACAAGCTTTTGCAGCACTAGTCCTTTGCCAGGTGAACGTGTTCACTTCACCTGATGAAGAAGCAGCACTACAAAAGCTTGTTAATTCAAATAAACCTGTTGGACTATAACCTGGTGTCGTATGACTTCTGACTTCATCATAACCAAACTGAGGTTTTTCACCATTTGGGTCTAATCCCAATCGCAGACTCATTTATTTCAATACTCGCCTTTTTTTAAAAAAAATAAAAACAATTACTTGCTTTTCCAAAAAGAAGACCCTTCTTAATTATAGTTTCTGACAAAATGCCACTTTTAACTGCTTTCTCTGTAAGTACACTGTTTTCACCTTCCCTTTAGTTTATTCTGCTATTATCTTAAATTCAACTCCTCTCATTGCTAGCTTGCCAACCAGAAAAAGAAAGATTACTACAGAGTGTCCCCAAACGTCCAACTTATGAATGTACGCACTTACAATTGTGATCACATCCAGGGGTATAATTTTAAAGATCTGACATATGAATGTTTCCTGTACTTATGAATGGCTATTTTGTATTATTCTGCATTTTGGTCTGATTTGCATTCAAATCGACTTGCCAATAGACTCAACAACAGAACCTGTTCACAACCCAGGACTGCCTGCATTTAATTTATCATAATGCGGCATAATCTTGAGCCTGATCATCACACAATTTTGCTCAGTTGCAGTGAGGAAAACCATAACTTCTTCTCTTTATAACTGCAAACTCTAATAGAACTCTGAGAATGTTTTGTCATTAAATGATGTGCCACTTTTGTTCCAGGATGGAATAGAAGAGAGCAAACACATTTTCAACGTTGTATAATAAATTATTATATAAGATTTTTGTCGTGCTTTAGTGCAAATGTTGTAGAAAATATGGTACAAATTGACGTGAGAGCATAGTCTCTCTAAATTTGTATGCACAATATACCAATACATAACTCATCTGTCAACTAAATGAAAAGAAAAAGTGAGGTCCATTCTTAGCCTATAGATAAACACGTTATACAATACAGATCTTTGATGAAAACTGCCTGTTATGCAAAATCCTTTAATAATTTAAAGTTCACTTTTTCCCAGCGCATATAATTTCTACAAAGAAAGAAGAACTCAACATGATCTTAGAGCAATTCAATATACAGGTATGTTCTGCTTTTCAATTCATTACCTTTGTCAAAATGTAAATAAGCCTGCAATTAGCAGTCAATAATTTCATGAAATCATATTGAATTCCTCTGACCTGCATGTTAATGGATGTTTCAACCTGATTATTGTGTAATAATAGAAAAAAAGAATTTGAATTGAGCAGGTTTGGTTTTTGGCAGTGTCATTTAAAAAATAGTTTTTAATTGCATGGTGAAAGGCTGTAGGTATTAGGTATGCAATGAGATTTTCAGATGGTCAGAGTCTTTTTTCCAATCAGAGTTCATTAAGAAATGTGGAGCCATATTTCTGTTCTAACAGATATTTCATAGCAAAGGACTGTCTGAGGAAGGCAAACTTGTTTCTCCTTTCCCAGCAGTCAGCTGCTGTATTCTGAAAATTAAAGACCCACTTTGACAGCTGCTGTCAAACCGTAACTGCTAAAGGTAAGTGTGATTTTAGGGTGCTGGGACGGTACGGTGAAAGATAGGTAAAGTGGTAGGGTGCCAGGTTACAGAGTATTAGTTGGATAGGGTGCCATGGTGTTAATTAGAGTGCCAGCTGGCAGGGGGTTTAGGAGTAAGGATGCCGGATGGTTAGAGGGTACAGTACGAGGGTTCCAGCTTGGGAGAGTGTAAAGTGGTAGGTGGGCAGGTTGCCAGATGGGAAGGGGCTAGGGTGCAATGTGATCTGAAGGAAGATAGAGTATGACATGCTTATACCCTTAGGCCAGATCATGGGTATGTCTCCCAAAAGCCTATTGATATACTGACCATGAGTCACCACCTCTTCCACATAACATTTTCCATGAAGGCTACTTGAGTCTGGGAGCTGTTGAACTGGCTGCTTCCTATGTGGTGGTATCAAGTGTTAGTGCTCTTGGCAGGTTGGCACTTCCTTGTTCTGGGTCCTCATACTGGTAGAAAGCTGGCAAGCCAGCAACTAAAGGCTGGATTTCCAGAAGATCTGGCAGAATTTCTAATTTGCCCTGCATTTGGAGTTAGTTACAGGTAAGGAAGGCCATCTAACGTCTCTACCCAGAGAGAGGTGAAGAAATTTTTTCACTATCTTGTTCAATATTCCATTGGCCTCATTGACGTGCTTTGTACTGGTTGGATACATTGAACGTCGACTCTAATAATATTCCAAAGTCTCTTTCAGTTTTCTAACTGTTGACACAAAGCACCCATTGTTCCCTAATAAAAGGTTTTCTGCTCCACTATTACCACCTTCGAAAATTTAACAATCTCTGGATAAAAGTCACCTTTTACTGCTTACAAATTATTTCAATCATGCAGTAATTTCAGATTTTCAATGATTCATAAGCCTTTGAAGTACCGAAACATGCAGTGCTTTTTAGTTCAATATATGCTACCTATACAGTGCAAACCTTTTATACAGTATCACAGGAGCAAAGCATGGTAGGTGCCTAGGATCGAATTGATTTTTTTGTTTTATATTGAACTTTTCAATTCATTCTCTTGTAATGCTAGATTCAGTGTGGAAGAGATGAATTCCTGTGGATTCACACAAAAATTTTTACCAGCATGTCCTTGACCTGAACTAACCTGCCGGTTCATTAGGATTTCCTCCAGTTGTGAATTTGTGTGAGTTCATGAAAAGTAGTTAAATTTCGAAAAGGCTCTATTTAAGGCCAGCACTGCCACTAGATGGTGTTAGATACACACAGCGCAGAATTAGAGCATTTCTTTGAAAAATGTGAGATCAGAGCCAACACATCATGGAGCCTCTTGTCCATGAAGCAAGTGATTCAATTCCAATCTGGAATTTATGATGCTTATTGATCCACAAAATAACAGACTTACCAAATTGTACAAACTGATCTGTCCCATGATCTGGCCAATCGTGTACCCAGTTAATGAGCACATTATTGGATAGCAATGCTCAGATTTCAAAATTCGGATCCCATACTGAGTTAAAAACCAGAAAGGGGCCTGCAATCTGCAAGTTGGGAAGATATGCTGAACCTTTGTGAACTACTGGTCAGTCCCCTGCTGGAGGACAGGGGCCATGCTGGCTACTCTGCACGTGGACAAAAAGCTCCTGGTGGTCATCTTTAATGCTATTGTGCATTGGGAGCACACAGTGCACTCCGAAAAGCTTATGGCTCCAGTAGAAATGTTGGCACAGTTGTAATTCTGTTCAATTCACACAATGCTTAATACATCAGGAATCATCTGAAGAAGAGTCACTGAACCTGAAACGTTAACTCTGCTCTCTGTCCATGGGTGCTGCATGGTTTTCCCAGCAATTTCTGTGTTCGTTTCAAGAAGCATCTGTGAAGGGAATAAATAGCTGCAATTTTCCAGAGGCAGGGTTTGGGGAATGGTCAGATCCTCAATATTTCTACAGACTACAGGATCTTGGGCCACATATTTTAGCAGTGACAATCAAGTAAGTGGCTTCCACTGACGCTACAACTCCATGAAGAAGGCTGGCATGTCCCCTGTCAGCTCCTGGCTCCAAACTGGGTTTGGAAGAGATGCTCTTTTCTCTCCTATGAACCATCTTTTAAAATATTCCACTGCATTTTCTACATCCTTATCTCGAACAATAAATATAAGGATGAAAACAGAATAGCATGTTTGCTGGAAATGTGAAACAATTACACAGAATGCTGGACAAACACAGCAGGCCTGGCAGTATCTGTTGGCGACAAAGAAAGAATTGACGTTTCGAGTCTGGTATAAGTCTGCTTCCAAGGAGTAAATAAATAATTGCAAGGAGCTCCTCAGACCTCTTTGTACTAAGATTGAGACCATCCAATCAGCAATCATCCAATCCGGTACTTCCCTCCCTTCCATCAGCCCAGCAGACCAGCCTTCCTGTAGAGTTCCCTCCATCTTTCCTGTCTCCCCTCAAATCCTCTCCAAGCTTAACCTGTCCATTGACACACCTATTGCTCCCTGAGTCCTATTCCCATTGAAGGGCTGATCCTGACCTCCATCCCTACCTCCCATGTGGACTGATATTGTGAATAGTTCTTGCTCTTCACTGTTGTTCCCTGTTTCTCCTCTTAGCGGTTCCAAGATTCCTCTGAGGTTTTGCACATGCCGATTGGCGTATCAATGCCAGTTTCAGAGGTCACTGCCATGCACAGACCTCCAAATGTCCATGCACTGAGAATAAGAATTACAGGGAGCGTTGATCTTTTTTCCTCTTGTCCTCATCCCTCTCTCATCGCTTACAATGGTCTCACTTGCTTCCTCTTCACTTACCTTGGATGGAACCCTCCCCCACCCACCCAGGGATATACCTTTGACCCAATCCTAATTCTCAGATACCTGCTACCTATAAAAACATAATCTGGAGACATAATGTTAGCTTTCACATGTACACTGAATGCAAGTTTACCTCACCACCACTTCTCCTGACATCTCTGCTAAGTTATCAGAATGCTCTACTGATGCCTAGAACTCAGTATTGAGCCAGGTAGCTCTAAGGTGTCAAAGATGATCTGCTGTTGTTTGAGCTTCATCAAAGCCTCCTGGTCTTACCTGGCAGGACGTTTCAGCCACGAGTAGTGACTTTGATTGACAGCTATTTCTGAGGCATTTGAAGAAAGAGACAGATCTTTGATTGACTTGAACTCTCTAATTTTCATAACTTCATGACCAGTTGACCAGCCAAGAGCTTGGGACAGCTTAGTCTTGAAGGTTGAAGGTGGGTTTAAAGTCCTATGGTATATATTAGGTGTTCTGAGAGAAACATCAAGTTTCATTTTTGTTTTCATAAAGACAGGAGTGCAAGGAAATACACACGTATGATATTCAGGCTGTCAGAAATTTGTCTAGTTCATTGATATAAATCACAGAATCAATCACAGATGTGTTAAAGTGCACTGGGGCGGCATTTAGCTCCTCCTGCCTACACTGGCTTGTTAAATGAACATTATTAGCTACTGCTAATTTCCTGCTTTTTCATCATACCCTTGCACGTAATTTCCAATCAAATAAGCATACTACAAATGTCTTATCTAAATAAATTGCCTGTTTCAAGTCCGTGCGTCATCTCAGTAAAGTCTGACTTCAACCTGTTCTTAGTGAAGAGAGGGAGACCCATGACAATTTATGGCATATTCCAACTGCTAGTATGCTGTAATGGTTATTTGTTATGATCCCTCAGTACTGTTATTCCTTACCTACATACTGGACAGATAAAAGTGCACTCCACATCATAATGCAATTTTATTGCTACACAGGTGGATAACCCAGTCTCCATTTTAAATCAAGAAATGAGTAAACTTTTGTTAAAATCAAAAAGTGGACCAGAAAAATATAAGGTAAGCTGTGTTGTACATATTCATGTGAAATGCTACAACTCTTTTAAAAGTTCAGTGCAGTGAACATTATTTAATCTTGCATTCATTACTGCATCAGTATGTTTGACTAAGTATGTGTAATTCCACTTTGGTGAAAATGGTAAAATATTATTTGTTTTAGTTCTGTTTTAATAAGAGCCACCAACTAACTCATAGTGAATTGAACGGAACTTTGAGTTGAATTGTGTTTTGTACTGGCAACTATTAAATCATTGCCTATTATAATAAAGGTTGACATTTTAAATGTATTTCCTTTCAAGAATTGAAAAAAGCTTCTGGTTCGTACACATGATCTGTACCACAGAACATCAGCGATCGTTTTCTATATGCTGTTACATGCAATGAAAATCTATTGACAACGATAGAAGAACAATTATTTTTCTTAGCAACCTGTCAAAATCCTCTCATCTTCATTCAAAGGGGTTAGCTTTTTCTGGGCTACTTTTCCCAGGCTTCAGTCATTCTTCAGTGTCTCAGTTCCATAGACATTACCCAGACTGGCGGACTGTTTGGTCACATTGAGGGGAGAAAAATCAATGTCAAACAGGATGCTGTTCTCAACTTGTGTATGTTTCTGCACATCTACTGCAGGGTTTGCTGGAAAGTATTTGGAAACTGTATCCCAAGTTGCCTTTTCTTTAACCGGAAATGATAAGGCCAGTACCGTTACCACTAACTGCTTGATTAATCAGAGCTAACTGAATTTTAACACATTCACACACTGAATCGTAATCAGAGTTGCTGATGATGTGAGCTTTGTTGTTTTAGGGTGCCTATTACTAAATAGCTGGATTTATTTAACTAAAGGTTTAATAACTTTGTCTCAATGTTACCTGAAATCAAGATTACAGCAGACAAATAAGAAATGCTGCTGTTTTAAAACATGCGTATTTTTGAAGTTTTTCATGAAAGCTACTCGACTAGATCAAATGCAAGAAGATTATTCTCAAATACTGCGGACCAAGACAATAACAAGGGAGAGGATTGCAGAGCAGGATGATGTGAGTTGAGCTCATGTATATTTAACTCCATTTCAGATGCAGTCCAAATGAACGAGTTAAGTATAAGCACTAGGTTTCAGTCTTAGCTCCATTGTGGCACTATACGTAAGCATAGAAAGACATTATGAAACATAAGTATGACAAATAATACATTGCCAAATGTTTCTTTCCATCTCCCTGTTAAGAACAACTCCTGTATATAAGTCCTTGCTGCTTACAAATCAGAATGTGACTTCACACACCCAAATTTGTGGTACTATAGAATTGTTGAGGAAACGCAAATAATTTTTAACTGCAATTAGTCACTGGATTAACAGTCCGATTCCTCTATTCAAACATTTTTTGCAAATCATTTCAATAAATCAATTGGTTGATGAAAATCCACAACGGTGAAAGGTATGTCTCTAAACAGGATTGCCCTATTGGAGAGATTTTCAACAAGAGGTTAAAAACATTACATGAAAAATGCAATTTAAAAATACTCAGGTTTTCCCCATCCCACCAATGGATCCTGGGAAATCCTGACTGGAGAGTTTAGAACTAGAAGACAGAATTCCAGAATAAGGGGCAGTCTAATTAGAATTGGAGATGAGGAAGAATCTCTTCACTCAGATGGTAATGAATGTTTGGAATCCTCTACTCCAGAGGGCTGTTGAGGCTTAATCACTAGGTATGTTCAAGACTGAGATTGTCCTCTTTTTACATGTTAAAAACATCAAGGAAAAAGGCATAGTGCAGGAAAATGGTGTTGGAGTACAAGACTAGTCAATATCTCATTGAATGGAGGAACAGGCTTTAAAGGCTGAATTACCTACTCGTGCTCCTATTTCTAATAAAATTAGCATGAACTATGTTTTGAATTTCAAATTCAGCTCCAAGAGATGGCTCTGCTTAAATATCAACAGCAAGATCAGGTCTATTGAAAATGATACTTTTTTGAAGTGTTAGCTTGAAAGTAATTCATATAAGTGTAGGGGAGATTTGTCAAACAGGAGCCTTGAGAGCCGAGTTCGGAAACACAACTCGATCTTTATGCAGGGCTCTTCACCAATGCAGTGTGGGAGAGGTCAGAGAGGAAATCTCCAAGACACTTTACCCATCCCTGGTCAAGTATAGAGTGTTTATACAATTCACATTGCAATGGTTACATGCAACGTTGAAGTGAGTGCTTGCCACATTCCTTCAGACTGTTAAGCTCCTCCCCAAATATTTGTCAGCTGCACTTGTAAAACTCCCATTGTGTATTTTCTCAAAATTATAATGATAAATTATAATATATTGCAATTATAGCATTATAGAGTCATACAGCACAGAAACAGACCCATGGTCCAACTTGTCCATGCCAATCAAGTTTCCCAAACCAAACTAGTCCCACTTGACTCTGTTTGGCCCATATTGCTCTAAACCTTTCCTATTCATGTACCTGTCCAAATACCTTTTACATGTTGTAACTGTACCTGTACCAATCACTTCCCTTGGCAGTTCATCCCACATATGAACCACTCTCTGTGTGAAAAAGTTGCCCCTTAGTTCCTTTTAAATCTTTCTCCTCTCACCTTAAAAATATGCCCGCTGGTTTTGGACTCCCCTACCCTGGGGAAAAAGAAGCCTTTGCTATTCACCTTATCTATGCCCCTCATGATTTTATTAAACTCTATAAGGTCACTCCTCCAGTGAAAAAAGTCCCAGCCTATCCAGCCTCTCCTTATAATTCAAACACTTCATTCCCAGTAACATCCTAGCACCTCCTCTTCTGTAATATGAACTGTTTTCAAGACATCAATATTTATTTCCCTGAGTTTCCTAGCTTCCATGTCTTTCTCTGCAGTAAATACTGTTATGAAATATTCATTTAGTGTCTCTCCCATCTCCTATGGTTCCATGCAAATGACTTTTTTGATATTTAAGGGGCCTTATTCTTGCCCTAGTTGCTGTTTTGCTCTTCATGTACTTGTAGAATCTCTTTGATTATTCTTACCCCTTTCTGTCAAAGCTATCTCATATCCCCTTTTAGCCCACCTGATTTCCCTCTTAAGAATGCCCTTACATCTCTTATACTTTTCTAGAGATTCAATTCATCCCAGTTGTCTATACCTAACATGCCTCCTTTTTGTTCTTGACCAGAGCTTCAATATCTTTATTTGTCCGTTGTTCCCTACTCCTACCAGCCTTACCCTTCACTCTAACAGGAGCATACAGTCTCTGAACTCTTGTTATTTCACTTTTGAAAGCTTCCTACTTGTCAGTCACCCCTTTACCTAAGAACAGTCTACTTCAATCAAGTTTTGAAAATTTCTGTTTCATAATTTTAAAATTGGCCTTACTCCAATTAAGAACTTTAATTTTTATACAAGGCCTATCCTTTTCCAGAACTAATTTAAAACTAATAGAATTATGGTCACTGGTCCCAAAGTGCTCCCCTACTAACACTTTAGTCACTTGCCCTGCCTTAGATCCTAACAGAAGGTCAAGCTTTGTTTCTTCTCCAGTAGGAACATCTACATATTGATAAAGAAAATGTTCATGAACACATTTAACAAATTCCTCTCCATCCAAGCCCCTAACACTATGGCAGTCCCAGCCTATGTTTGGAAAATTAAAATCCCCTACTATTACACCTATTATTCTTACATATATCTGAGATCTCTCTACATATTTGCTCCTCAATTTCCTTCTGACTATTGGGGCTCTGTAGTACAATCCCATCAAGGTGATCATCCCCTTCTTATTTCTGAGTTCTACCCACATTGCTTCACTGGATGATCCCACAGAAATATCCTCTCTAAGTACAGCAGTAATGTTTTCCTTCGTCAAAAATTGCTTTTATCCCCTTACAATGCTATCTGCTCTTCAGTCCATGGTTTATGAGCTTATCTGTTTTCACAATCTGTTAATCAATCCTCTCTGTTGGCAGAGTGGGGACTTCTCTCTACTATCTTCAGCTATTTGTTTAGAGGAATTCCATTACGTTCCTCAGTATTAGTTTGTTGGCTGCATTTATCATTTCATTATACCTATCTTATCTAGTTACTGAGAGTATGAATGCCATGATTCTGACTGTAAGTTACTGTCTCAGCTAACAAACTTCCTCAGCTATTTCATGTCAATTAAAAGGATTTTCACCAAAGCAATGGGAGGAGATCAGGAGAATCTTGCTTAAACTCCAGTTCCCCCTTTAAGCCTTTAATTACTTTGAGCTGGATCTAGTGAGAGGGAAGAGTGAAGATTGCTGGAGCCCATTCAGAAACATATCACGTAATACATGGTTAGGGTAGAGACGTTCAAAGCTGGGGGACATACTTAGAAGGTGAGAGGAGAAAGAATTAAAAGAGACTTAGGGACAACTCTTTCCACACAGAGCAACGTTCATGTGTGGAATGAACTGCCAGATATAGGGACAGTTACAACATTTAAAAGACATTTGGACAGGTGCATGAATAAAAAAGGTTTAGAGGGATATGGGCCAGATGCAGGCCAGTGGCAAATTTGATTGGCATGGATGAGTAGGACCATTGGGTTTGTTTCCATGCTGTATGTCTCCATGACTCTATGATTCTAAAACCCTTGGTGGCCATTTTATGTTACCTTCAGCCATGGGCTGTCCTAACAACCAGAAACAATAAATCGAAATAAAGCTACCATGGTAAAATGAAAACTCATTAATTTTCTTTTTTTTCAGTTGGCTTAAACTTTAACTTTACCATTCAATGCATTAGTTACAAAGGAATGGCACATGTGGCGACATGTATGGAGTAAAGAATCTAGTTTATATCGAAAGTGATTTTTATTATTACATCTCTCTGCGCAATGCTGTTGTGCTGCAAGGATAAATTCTTTACTGAATAATTTGAAGCAACTAAAAATTGATAGCAATATGATTCGATGTTTCCAAAGTACCTAGCAGAGCTAAAGAAGAAAGTCAAGGAGAAGGAAAGACATTATAAAAGCCTTGAATCGTTGAATGGCCTGCAGGAGAAACTAGAGCAGCTCAAGAATCAGATGGCCTGGGCACTGGTAAACAAATAGAAATTTTGTTTTTATAATTCTTTAAAAGATCTCATATGAAAACAATTTACATGCTTGCAATGCTTTCATTTTTGTCTTGTCTAAATAACTGTAAAAACATAATAAAATGTTCAAAGAGGTCGGAAAGTTTGAGGAATATTAAGCTAACCTTATGCCAGTGTCTCCATTCTCACTCATTCAGGGCACACAAGGGCACACACCACACTAACACTGGACTTGGTAATCCTGCAATGCTTTGGAGGTACCTTGGAGCCAGTATTCTGATGTCAGTTCATTTTTATTTTATCAGCTATTTGAGTTAGACAAAGGTTCATAAGTCTCATTTCAGGGGCTCGAACACACCCTCCAGGTTGACATTTCAGTGCAGTGCTGTACTGTCAGGGGTAGGGTCTTTCAGACGGGAATATAAATTGATGTCCTATCTGCCTGTGGAAATGGATTTAAAAGGTCACATGGCACCATTTTGAAGAAAACTAGGGAAAGTTCAACCTGTACGCCTCAGCCAAACAAATAAAGGAACATTACATATCATTTGTAGCACCTTACTGTGCAAAGATCGGCTACCACATGTTCCTAGGTTTTTCATTGGCCTTACAGTTCTTTGGGCATCCTGGGGTCACCAAAGGAGCTTTATTAATACAAATCCTTTCTTTTGGAAGAACAGCCCCAACAGTGGCCTTCCAATGATTGCTCAAAAGGATAGCAGTAAGGAAAGGGTGTTGGGTAGCTAGGCTAGTATGAGAATAAATACGATGGCCAGAAATGATCTTGGATCGGAAGATGTAGAATCCATATGGGTGCAGGTAAGAAATAACAAGGGGGAGAAGTTACCAGTGGGAATAGTCTGTAGGCCCCCTAACTGTAGCTTTATGGTAGGGCAGAGAACAAATCAGGAAATAATGAGGTTATGTAAAAAAAGACAATCTGCTGGTAGATTGGGATAATCAAGTTGGCTGAGGAAGCCATGGGGATCATTTCATAGAGTGTATTCAGGATAATTTTCTAGAACAATATGTGTGAATCCAATCAGACATCAGGATATCCTGGATCTGGTAATGAGGCAGTTTAATAAATGATCTTAGGGTAAAAATTACCTGGGAAACAAAGATTGTAATATGCCAGAGTTTAGCATTCAGTTTGAGAGTGAGTAACCTGGGTCAGAACAATTAAGGTAAAACTAAGTGAAGGTAATTAGAAAGGAATGAGGGTAGAGTTGACTAGAGTAGACTGGGAAAGGAGCTTAGTGAAAAAGACAGTTGAGAAACAATGGCAGATGTTTAAGAAAATACCTCATGTCTCACAACAAAGATATATCCCAGTGAAGAAGAAACATTCTAGGAAAAGGACAAACCAACCATCATTTACCAAGGATGCTGAGGATAGTATCTAATTGAAAGGTAAAACATAAAATTCAGCACACATTCTTGGTAAGCCAGAGGATCAGCAAAGTTTTATAAATTAACAAAACATGACCAAAAAAAACGAAGAGTGAGAAAATAAACATTAAGAGTAAACTAGCAAGTAACATCAAAACAGATAACTAGAGCTTTTATATACATATATAGATAATATATACATATATAAATAGGAAAAGAGAGGTCAAAGTGAACATAGATCCCTCGGAGAATGAAGCTGGTAAAATAATAATAATGGAGAACCAGGAAATGGCAGACTAGCTGAACAAATGCATTGCATTAATCGTTTTGGTAAACACTAGTAGCATTGCAAATATGCTAAATAAACAAAGGGCAAAAGGAGGAGAAGAAATAAACGCCATAAATATTATGAGTTAAAGTAATAGGGAGACTAATGGAGCTAAAGGCCAGATTCTTCAGACTTGTTGTGTTTATTCTATGATATTAAAGGAAGTAAGCACAGTGATAATGGATGCACTGGTGATAATTTTCCAAGAATCGTCAGATCCTGGAAAATTCCCAAAGGATTGGAAAACTGTTGATGTAGCACCCTTATTGAAAAAGGAAGGAGACAATAAAACAGATATAGTTGACTTAACATCAGCCATCGGAAAAATGTTAAACTCGATGTAAACAATCTAGTAGTAGAGCATTTAGAAATGTATAATATAACCAAGGAGTGTCAACATGGCTTCATTAAGGGGAACTCATGCCTGATATTCATTATAATTCTTTGAAGAAGTAACACACAGGATTATTAAAGAGGAATTAGTAGATAGAATATATTTGGATTTCCAATGGACATTCAGTAAGGTACCGCGCATTGCGTGACTTAATAAGAGCTTGTAGTGTTAAGGACAGTATATTAGCATGAATAGAGTATTGGTTAACTAATAGAAGACAGAGAGTTGAGAAAATGTGGGAGGTGGTGTAGCATTTTCAGGTTAACAACATATAATTATTGGAGTGCCACAGGGATTTTTGTGGGTGCCATAATTATTTACAATATAAATTCATAACTCAGATGGGAAAGAGAATGTACTATCACCAAGTTTGCAGATGACACACAAATAGGTGGATAGACAAGTGCTGAGGGTGACACAAAGAGAACAAAGGTTAAGTGAATGAGAAAAAGCTTGGCAGGTGAAATATAATGTTGGAAACTGCGAGGTTATGCCTTTGGCTGGAAGAATAGAGAAGGTGAATATTATTTAAATGGATAAAGACTACAGAAAGCTGCAGCACAGAGGAATTTGTTAGGGGGAGGGCTTCTCTTGCATTAGTCACAAAAAGCTAACATGCAGGTAATAGGGAATTCAAATAGAATGTTGTCCTTCATTTCAAAGGCAATGGAATATCAAAATAGGGAGATCCTGCTAAAACTATTAAAGGCACTAATTAGACCGTGCCCAGAATAATGTGAACAGTTATTATACTACATTGGAAGCAGTCCAGGGGAGGTTTAATAGGTTGATCCTCTTTGTGAAGGGATCTTATGAGGAGGGGTAGAGTAGGTTGGGCCTGTACTCACTAGAGTGTAGAGGAATGAGAGGTTACCTTATTGAAACATACAAGATTATGAGGGGCTTTGACAGGGTAGATGCTGAGAGGTTGTTTCCCCTTGTGGGAGAGTCTAGAACCAGAGGGCACCATCTCAAAATAGGACACACATTTAAGATAGAGATGAGGAAGAATTTCTCCTTTTGAATGTAGTGAATCTGTGAAATTCTATACTATAGAGGTCAGCTGAGGCTGGGTCATTAGGTATATTCAGAGTTGAGATAGATTTTTAATCTGTAAGGAAATCAAGGATTATGGAGAAAACACAGGAAAGTGGAATTAAGGATTATTAGATCAGCCATGATCTCATTGAGTGGCAGAGAGGATTTGATGGGTTGAATGGCCTACTTTTGCTCATATATCTTATGGTCATATCAGGACCAGGAAGCAGTTTAGATTTAAAATTGTCCCCTCGAAGTTAGTGTTGGTGTATCATGTATGTCCATTCTCTTCCACTTGAAATCATACTTTGTATAAGCTGATTTATAAAAAGAAAATTCTACCTCTCACTCTTGTACCCACAAGAAACAGAAACTTCAGGCTCTCTATAGTATGTAAATGCAGTCAATTGTGAAAAATGTCATGCAGAGCCAATTTTTGGCACAGATCAACAGATGTTCAGATCCCATTAGCTAGTAATTGTACTTATTAAGAAATCTACAAAAGAACACACCACAATCTGTTTTGAATCATAACCTTTATATTTGCAAATCATCAACATTGAAGTTTAACTTCTGTATGCTATGGAAAGTACATCCCACAAAATCTAATGAGGAATTTTAACCAGTAAAGAAATAAACATATTCATTTTGTACTGTAGGTCATTGAGATTGAAAAGGATTTGGAATCGATAAAAGACTGTCTTAATGGAGAACAACGACATGGTATCAAATATAATCAGGAACTAGAAGAATGGCAGGTGAGCTCATATTTTGAGTTCATTGTTCATAATCTTAACTATTACTGCTTTTCTTTTGTGGTGCTTACAACAGTTAATTTAATTGCCTATATGAAGGGGAAGTTTCCTGTTTTTGATTAATTTATGTTTTTACATATTTGAAGGGATGCCCATTTTAAGGTAGAATTTGCTGGAAAAGTTCAGCAGGTCTGGCAGCAACTGTGGAGAAAAATCAGAGTTAATGTTTTGGGTCGAGTGACCCTTCCTCAGAAGGTCAACCCGAAACGTTAACTCTGATTTCTCCCCACAAATGCTGCCAGACCTGCTGAGCTTTTCCAGCAATTTCTATTTTGTCTCTGATTTACCTCATCTGCAGTTCTTTCGATTTCCATTTTAAGATGTTCATTATGTTCATTTCATGATCAATTTTATACCTTAGAAGCACTGTATAAGTGTATGCATTTTCTTGAAAGATTAAAGAGGACCTACTGGAATTATTTTCCCTCTTCTACAGGCCAAGGTGAACTTTGAAGAACTAAAATTTAAAGCAGCTCAGGATCAGTTGCAGAAAATTACAGAAGAGAAAGAACAGTTGCAAAGACAGCTCGTTACTTTAAAGGAAAACATGACAAGAAAAAAGAAAGCCTGCAAAGAAAGTGAGGTTAGTGCAATTAGGTGAAATGAAACACAATTGTATGCAGATGCTGCAAAATAAAGATGTTGGGTGAAGCAATCCACTACGAGTTTATAAGGTGATTGTGCATTAAGGTATTCAGGTAATGTTATGTGGCATACCAGTTTCTTACAATAGGTGAATTTTTGTATACTGTAGAAGCAATCTGTCAAATCTGAACCCTAACGGAGTGGAAAAGTATAAGGGCTGTGTGCCAGGAATGCGGAAGAAAGATTCTAGTTCTCTGTAAAGGGTTCAATGAATTGTAGAAATAAAGGACAATACATGAATGTCTTTTTGGTAATTTGTTAGTAATATATTTAATTGTTCAAATGTAATGAGGGGTTATTTGGCTTTTTAGGCTCAGAAGAATATTTTAGTTGCAGATGGCAATTAGTTTAATAGATTGGAGATACATTTCTGTTACTTTGACTTTGGAAAGGTCTTACAAAAGTTCTTCAAAGTTATGCGTCAGGTAAATGGTATTGCATTGAGCCTCCCAATGGAATAAAGTGAAAAAGGAGGGGAGATTGGATGTGGGGGTTCCAAATTGGTGATTGTCCAGATTAGTTTTGCAAACCCTAGTGCAACACAGTTTGATCTGAAGTTCACTTTGGCAGCAGTACCTCTGTTGATGCGTTCGCAACCTGTGGGCAATCTCGCCATGAATCTCCGTGATGCTCATCAGGCAACTTTTTTTGCGTCAAGACTCCAGTCACTTTAAAGGCAGATATCCAACCTCTAAGCGCTGTTGTTCAACCGAAGAACTGAAAACTCTCCAGCCCCAGCAGCGCCACCCAGACTGATGGCCATTGCTGGCAATGCAGCCTGCCAGGGCCATCAGTGATGGAGGAGGCCCTTAATTCTTGGCGAGCAGATCAGGCTTTCCAAGACCAGCCACTGACACGATGGTGAGGAGAGGCTGTTGTTGCTAAAGGCAGGGCAGCTGTCCATGTACCACAGCATGCCAGATTAGAAGATTTCATGCCAACAAGGAATACCCTTTATAGGTAGCCATGTCCCTGTATACAGAGGCCTCCCCACCATCCTGGTGGCAGAATGGAACTCTTCAGTGGCCCATAATTACCCACTTAAGGACCCCAACTGTCCTTTGGGTGGGAAGTCTGTCATCAATTCTGACAACTGATATGCCAGTGAACATCATTTACACTTCTGTTTCCATTCCACTTCTCGCATGAAACTGCTGCCCAAACCACTGTGTTCATGCATCTCTCAAAATGCTGGTTGTTGCATACCCAACCCAAAGGCCATGATAGCTACCTGTAACTCCAATGAGATCTCTCTCACTGAAACACATTCTTAATAAGAACCACTGGTTAAAAAAATAAAACAATGCATAGGTTAGGTGGAATTTCTAGAGGTGCATGGACTGTCTCAGAAATATTTTATGCAGGCACTCATGGCATTAATTAACCAATTGCTAATTTCTTTCCATTTATGATGTCTGTGCTGGAAATGACTGTGTATTTCTGGGTGTGAATAATTTGGACGAAGCTGAATTGCACTGGAAGGGTTGCGGAGGAGATTTACCAGGGTGTTACCTGGGTTGGAGCATTTTAGCTATGAAGAGAGACTGAATAACCTTGGGTTGTTTCTTGAGAGCAGAGAAAGCTTATGGAGGACCTGAGTGAGGTGTATAAAATTATGAGGGCATGGGCAGAGTGGATAGAGATCAGCTGTTCACCTTAGTTGAAGGGACAATAATGAGGGGACATAATTTTAAGGTGAAGGGCAGGCGGTTTAAAGGGGATTTGAGTTTAAAAATGTTGTCATTTAGAGGTTGGTGGGAATCTGTAATGCACTGCCCAGGAAGATACTGGAGACAGGAAACACATTGACCTTTGAAAAGTACATGGATAAGCACTTGAAATTTCATAATATTCAAGATTATGAGCCAAGTGCTGGAAAGTGGTGTTGATGGGCTGAAGCATCTCTTCTGTGCAGTATGACTCTATGAATGGCATCAAAAAGTATTGCTAAGACATTTGCCAAGACATGGAGAAGATGCTAGAAAAACTGAATGGACTGAAGGTGGATAAATCACCAGGACCAGATGGACTACACCCCAGAGTTCTAAAGGAGATAGCTGAAGAGATAGTGGAGGTGTTAGTGGCGATCTTTTAGGAATTGCTAGAGTCAGGGAAGGTCCCAGAGGACTGGAAAATCGCTAATGTGACACCCCTGTTTCAAAAGGGAATAAGGCAAAAGACTAAAAATTACAGGCCAATTAGCCTAAGCTCAGTTGTAGATTAGATTTTAGAATCCATTGTGAAGGATGAGATTTCTGAATATTTGGAAGTGTATGGTAAAATAGGGCAAAGTCAGCACAGCTTCATCAAGGGGAGGTCATGCCTGACAAATCTGTTCGAATTCTTTGAGGAAGTAATGAGCAGGTTAGACCAAGGAGAGCCAATGGATGTTATCTACCTGGACTTCAAGAAGGCCTTTGACAAGGTGCCGCACAGGAGGCTGCTGCGTAAGATAAGGGCCCATGGTGTTAGAGGCAAGGTACTAGCATGGATAGAACATTGGCTGTCTGGCAGAAAGCAGAGAGTGGGGTTAAAAGAGTCTTTCTCAGGATGGGTCTGCTGACAAGTGGTGTTCCACAAGGATCGGTGTTGGGACCACAACTTTTCACTTTATACATTAATGATGTAGATGAAGGAACTGAGGGTATTCTGAGCAGGTTTGCAGACAGTACAAAGATAGGTAGAGGGACAGGTAGTATTGTGGATGTGGGGAGGCTGCAGAAAGACTTGGGCAGGTTAGGAGAATGGGCAAAGAAGTGGCCGATGGAGTACAAAGTGGGAAAGTGTGAGGTCATGCACTTTGGTAAGAAGAATAAAAGCATGGACTATTTTCTAAATAAGGAGAAAATTCAGAATACTGAACTGCAAAGAGACTTGGGAGTTCTAGTCCAGGTTTTTCTCAAGGTAAACTTGCAGGTTGAGTCAGTAGTCAGGAAGGCAAATGCAACTTTGGCACTTATTTTGAGAGGACTTGAATATAAAAGTAGGGATGTACTTCTGCGGCTTTATAAGGCTCTGGTCAGGCCACATTTGGAGTATTGTGCACAGCTTTGGGCCCCATATCTCAGGAAAGATGTACTGGCCCTGGAGCAGGTTCAGAGGAGGTTCACGAGAATGATCCCAGGACTGAAAGGCTTAACATATGAGGAATGTTTGAGGACTCTGGGCCTATACTTGTTCAAGTTTAGAAGGATGAGGGGGGATCTAATTGAAACTTATAATACTGAATGGCCTGGACAGAGGGGATGTTGGGAAGATGTTTACATTGGTAGGAGGAACTAGGACCCAAGGGCACAGCCTTAGTGTAAAGGGAAGACCTTTTAGAACAGAGATAAGGAGAAACTTCTACATTCTATGGAATTTACTGCCACAGAAAGAGGTGGAGGCTAGGTCATTGAATATATTTAAGACGGAGATAGATAGGTTGTCAAGGGGATCAAGGGTTACGGGGAGAAAGCAGAAAAATGGGGTTGAGAAACTTATCAGCCATAATTGAATGGTGGAGCAGACTTGGTGGGCTGAATGGCCTCATTTCTGCTCCTACATCTTATGGTCTTATATACTTATAGTCTTATTTTTAAAGTAGTCTTGCGTGGTAGCTGTGAATTAAGAAAGGTCATTCATGCACAGGTTTGCACAGCGTACTCAATGATATGATAAGTGAATCTCATCCTTGATTAATCAAGTCCCAGACTAGTGATGGTGTGAGGCAACAAACTTGTGCCAATCTCCCATTGATGTCTCTAAGGTATCAGTTGCCATAAGATAGATTTAAAATTATGTGATATGGCGAATATGCGCAAGACCTAGAGTGAAAATATTTCTATTACTTTAATTTCCAGGCCACAGTCCATCTCTGCAAGTCACAACTGAAACAACTTGAGAAAGATCATGATCGTTTACAGAGGCAATTTGAAGAATTGAGTAGGTTAGAAAATTACTAATACAGTCTTGAAAGAGAATATTTTCACCAGCTTCATTGTTTGTACTCTGAGAATATAACAGAAGGATATAGTTAACCTTCAATTTTTGTCTTGAGTTTGATTAAATTCATATCTTGTAATATGAGATACTATAATTGTTCAATAGTTCTTGTAAAACCTGTGAAGAGAGAAAGGGTTAATGGCCCAGATCGTCTGAGGGCAAGATTGTTATTGATTTGATTTTTTTATTGTCACATGTACCAAGATACAGTGAAAAGTATTGTTTTGCATGTTATCCAATCAAATCATATCTTACATTAGTACATTGAAGTAATAGAACAGATGCAGAATATAATGTTACAGATACACAGAATGCGTAAAGAAAGATCAACTCTAATATACCAGCGATCCATTCAAAAGTCTAATAATAGCGGGGAAGAAGTTGTCCTTAAATCTGTTGGGACATGTTTTCAAATTTCTGTATCTTCTGCCTGGTGAAGAGGATGGAAGAGAGTATAACCAGGGTGGGAGGGGTCTTTAATTATGTTGGCTGCTTTCCCGAGGCAGTGGAAAGTGTAGTCGGAGTCAATGGAAGGACGGCTGGTTTCTGCAATAGACTGGGCTGTGTTCATAACCCTCTGTAATTCAGGAGATGAATGATTAAAACCTACTCTAACTCCTATTCAATTAGGGAATAGACTCCCACACCTTTCTCCAACTCAGCAGTGACCCCCCAGCCAAACCTGCAGACCCCACATCCCTATGGGCATCTAATTCCCTTCCACCTCCTAATAATGAACTCCCCCAAACAAAGCCCTGACTCCCTGATTCCAACAAATACATTAAGACATCTCCTCTCCCTTCCCCCACCAGTCTGACAACAATTTCCCCTCACAAGCAACAAAGCTCAGCAGGTCCGGCAGCATCTGTGAAGAGAAATCAGAGTTAATGTTTCAGGTCTGGCGACCCTTCCTCGGAACTGATGGTAGCTAGGGATTCCCCCTCCATGGGCATGCCCCTGACCACTCCCTCCTGGACTCCCTCCCTTAACTCCCCGCCGCCTCAAACCACCCCCCCACCCATCCAATTACACCTTTCCATTCCCCGAATCCAGATACAAGCTGATCAAACTTGTCTCCCCATTCCACTCAACCCTCCCACCCCCACTAGAACCCACCCTCAGCCCTCAAGCACTTAATCTGCCACCCTACCCCTGCCCATCCTTTACCTACACGCTACACCCTCACCCACCTCACAACTTACTCCTCACCAATCTGGTTGCCCACTGTCTTCACCTACTTGACCGCTTGCCCCTCATCTACCTGGCACCATACCTCCTCACTAACCTGGCACCTCCTGCTCTCTCTTATCTGTCAATCCAAGCCATCCTCTCCCCATCACTTACCTTATGCATTGGCCTTCTCTCGGTAGCTGTTGAAATGGTTATAGAAGGTTTGAATCAAAGACTGTAAAATGTACTGTCAAAGGAGTGGTTTCAGCATTTATCCACCCCAGTGCTGCCTGTGGATTACTGGACTTTGCTGCTTCTGACATAGATCGTTCAAATTGGGTCATTGTTTCCAGTTAATGAGCTTCTTGCTAATTTTCAAAACCAATTCCAGACAAAGAGAAGCTTTTCTCCAGGAACAGAAAGTCTAGGCATAGCCTTAAGTTATAATTTCTAAGATTTGCACATGAAATCCCATATCCAATCTCTACACTTCAAATAAGTCAAACAAGATAGAGCGTGGGCATAGCTGCAATATGTTAATGAGAGACTTTCAGAAAAGCCTGAATGGATACGGAGTTCCTGTCTCTAAACCTGAGTATCAGCAAAACACTGGAGGTGTAATTAACGCTCATGCATGTTATTCACTGCAATACATTTCCATTCCTTTTCCCCAAATTTACTTCGAAAGGGGGTGTCAAAGTTCGAAAGCTAAGTTCACAGAACTGAAAGATGGAATTAACAACCTTCAAGAGCAACTGAAACCGCTAAAGCAAGAGGAAGCCACAATCTTAAAGCAAATAGAAAACGATTACGATACAATCAGCAATTTGAAAGATGAACAGGATAATCTGAGGTTAGTAATCGAGACTACAGGTGAGGACTATCTGGCACCATTTGCTAATATCACGTTGATCTATCTGTACAGACCACCAAAATGAAATTAGCAGAACAATATCATAATTTATGGGTTAAAAGAAAACAAAGAACTGCAGATGCTAGAAAACTGAAACAAAAAGAGAAACTACTGGAGAAACCCAGCAGGTCTGGCAGCATCTGTGGAGAGAAAGCAGAGTTAAATGTTGCCCTTCTTCATCCACAGATGCTGCCAGACCTGCGGAATTTCTCCAGCAAGTTCTCTTTTCCTGTCGTAAATGATGGTTCTTTTTTAAAAAACATGCGAGATAAAGAAAGTCTATGATGAAGCCAATTTTAGAATGTGGATGGAAATGGTGTTTGGTTTGATTGAAGATGACAATGGAATAACAGTGGGGATGGTTGGGTTTTCCCTGGTGAGGAAAAGGAAAACACTTTAGCTTTCTACTGCAAAATAGGGCTGTCAAAAATTTATAGGCCTAACTTTAGTATTTGAGCATCTGCCAATACTGTTTCTCAGCAATGCACCAATGTTTATAAATTAATTATGATTAAAACATTTATTTGCATTCTATGATGTGGGCATATTCATCACGTCAAGGATATTATTACAACCTCACTTGGGCAAACTATTTAAGAAATAGGATTTTCTCAGGAATTTTTTTTTTTGCTCTCTTTTTGTACATCTTACTCAAAACCTTCAGGCTTCAAAAACATCCTGTATACAACAACTTATTTTATGCTGTCAGTTCCTAATTATGTGTCCACGTTTCTCAACCAGTTTATCTCATTTAATTGTTGCAATTGCTGTTGCACACTGGCTGACACTCTAGATCTTTCCTTTCAACTCTTTCTGGTAGCTCCACCACCGTCTTATTTTTCTATCTGAAGGTAGGTAGGTAAGTAAGTAAGGAATGAACACAATGGCAAGTACAAAGATTTTATTTAGATGATGTCTTATAATATGCATATTACTTGAAACAAATTCTCTTACCAATTCCTGCAAACAGGGCAGATCCATCAGCAAATTGGAAGCCTTGCATAATATATAGAACTTAAGGACATTAAGAAAATGAGCAGGAGTGTACCAGTCAGCTCCTCAAGCCTGTACAGCCTGTATGTATTCTGTATGGTCATGGCTGATCTGCCCCAATAGGGAGGCAATGGCCTCCTGGCATTATTGCTGCATTGTTAATCCAGAAACTCAGTTACTGTTCTGGGGACCCAGGTTCAAACCCTGCCATGGCAGATGATCAAATTTGAATCTGGAATTAAGGGTCTACGGATGTCCATGAAACCATTGTTGACGATCATAAAAACCTATCTGGCTCACTAATGTCCTTCAGGTAAGGCAATCTGTCATTCTTACCGGGTCTGGCCTATGTGTAACTTCAGACCCACTGCAATGTCATTGACTCTTAACTGCCCCCTGGGCCATTAGGGATGGACAATAAATGCTGGCCTAACCAGTGATGCTCACATCATGTGAATGGAAAAATAATTGATGTATGTTCACCCACAATGCTGTTAGGGAGGGAGTTCCATGGTTCTGACCCAGTGATACCGAAGGAATGGGGATATTTTTTCAAGTCAGGATGGTGAGTGGCTTGGAGATGGAATTGCAGGTCGTGGTATTCCCATGTATCTCCTGCTATTGCCCACCGGTAGTGGAGAGAGTGGATGTTTGTGCTTGTGGTGGCAATTGAGCAAGCTGTGTTGTGGTAGATGGTGTCAGGCTTCCACATAAGCTCCCAGAAACCCCGACCCTTTAGGACTCACCCAGCTCAATCATTAGCACTGCCGCTGAACATGTGCAGGACTCATTGGTAATAATTAGTTTGACAAATGAACTGCTTCCATCACAGTCCCAAAGCAAATCGATTTGGTTGTTTTTCAATAATATTTGAAGGACAGCCAGAGGCAGAGGTCAATAGCTTTATTATGTTGAGAATTATCTGGTGTATCTTTATTTCACGCAGCAGTGAGGTTTTGTGGGAGATTAAGCAATGGAAAAACTTGATGAATTGTAGTTGTCATTGTGATGATCTTCTCTATATATTATTAACACTACTGTGTATTCTCACCTGTCAACATTCCCTGTGGGATTTTTACAGAAAGAGTGTCGACCTCCTATTACCTGAGGAATTCACAGGCAGGTAAAATGCTGTCACATTTTTCAGGTATGGAAGCCTCTAGAATACAAGGTTTGGATCGACCTGTAGTTCCATCCCTGACCACTGGGTGGGTTCTCTACACCAGTTTTCTAGATCTTCCCAAATCTTAAAGATGGTGAGGTCCTAGCCTTTTCAAAACATTAGCAATTTAAAAGTTTCATCTTATCAACAGTGTGATTTATTTATCTCCAACATGCATCGGCCAACCATAAATACAACCTGTTCTGGCAAAGCTTTTAGTTTCCAAAATCCATTCTGTCATGTATCCGCTGCCCATTCGCTGAGTGACCTTCATTCCCAAACCATGCAATAAACACTTTTCAACCTGTAAAAGCAGCTTAAAAAAGGACAAATTTCAGCCTGCACTGTCTTGCACTGTCTCAATGATACATGAAGCATGGAATTGGTCAGACTATTTTTCTGGTGTTCAGGACAAATTTGCATATGCTAATGAGGGGGCGAGAGGCCATAAAATACTCTTTCCTAATAACTGGGCTGCCTTAAACCATTGATGCTGACAAGAATGGCCAGAAGATACACACTCCTGTTAGGCAAGGTGCTGCTTTCTCTGAATATCCAAGCTTAAAGCCCAAGGACCAAACTTGTTTTAATGTGAGGGCCCATTTCTTTGCTTGCAGGAATTATTCCTCACACTCTTTTAGCAATTTGATAAGGGAACTGTTTAGCCTTGATGATGTGGTCCACACCAGCCTCACCAGGCACATTTAAGGATTAAGAAACAGCAGACCATGAAGAGCTTTCCTTCAGGGGATCACAGCCCCGCATCTCTCCCACTGCAGACTTCTCCACTCACTTCAATCACGCCTGCGCTCTCCTCCTCAATTTGTTTTCATTTTATGGCAGGGACTCTTCCTGTAGGACCCCTGCAGCTGGTTCCTGTCATGTCCACCCTGCTTCTCAGCTAATGACCTCCACATCATTGTTAACAACTTCCAGGTGGGAGCCAAGCTAGACGACCTAAAACCATAAGATGGAGGAGCAGAGCTGGCCATTCAGCCCATCAATTCTGCTTCACTAATCAATGAGATCATAATCTTCAACTCTGCTTTCCTGTCTTTTCCCCCAACACTTAATTCCCTTACTGAGTAAAAATCTGTCTATCTCAACCTTGAATATACTTAATGACCCAGTCGCAACTGCCCTCAGTAGCAAAGAATCCACAGATTCACAATCCTCTGAGACAAGAAATAAGTCCTCATCTCTGCCTTAAGTCTGTGACCCCTTATTCTGAGGCTCTGCCCTCTGGTCTTAGACAAAAATAACTTTTCCTCACCCACACTTTCAAGTTTTCCCTAAGAATCCTGTATGTTACAATAAGGTCACCTCACTTTCTTCTAAATGCCAATGAGCACAGACACAGCCTGCTCAAACTCTCCACATAAGACATTCTCTCCATATCAGTTGCGAGCCTAGGCCACGTTCTCTGAACTGCCTCCAATACCAATAATTCTATCCTTAGATAAAACTGTTCACAGTACTCCAACTGCTATCTGACCATCGCCTTGTATAGTTTCAGCAAAACCTCCCTACTTTTTTGCTCCATTCTCATTGAAGTAAAAGCTAATATTCCATTTGCCTTCCCTATTACTCAGAACTTGAATGTTTGCTTTTACTGATTCATGGGTGAAGATTGTCAAATCCCTCGAAGCTGTAGATTTTCCATGTAATTAATATTCAGCTCCTCTGTTTTTCCTGATAAAGTGCACAACCTCACATTTTCCCACATTATATTCCACATAACCTGTCTGTATCCCTCTGCAGACTGCTTTTTATTTACCATCCTCAACACTAGCCTTCCACCGACTTGTGTGTCATTCACAAACGTGGTGATAATACATTCACTTTCCTCATTCAAGTCAAAGAACCACAGACTCATACAGCATGGAAACAGGCCCTTCTGCCCAACTCGTCCATGCTGACCAGGTGTCCTAAACTGAACTAGTACCATTTGCCTTTGTTTGGCCCATATTCCTCTAAACCTTTCTTATCCATGTACCCGTCCAATGTCTTTTCAATGTTGTAATTGTACCTGCCTCTCCCATTTTGTGTGGCAGCTTGTTCCGTATACGCACCACCCACTGTGTGAAAAAGTTGCCCCTCAGGTCCCTTTGAAATATTTCCCCTCTCACCTTAAACCTGCGCTCTATAATTTTGGATCCCCTACCCTGGGGAAAAGACCTTGGCTTCACCTTATCTATGCCCCTGATAAGTTTATAAATCTCTACAAAGCCACCGCTTAACCTCCTACTGTCTGGGGAATAAAGTCCCAGCCCATCCAGCCCCTCTTTATAACTCAAACCTTCCAGCCTCAGCAACATCATTTTTGGCACACTCTCTAGTTTAATAACATCTTTCCTGCAATGCAAATAATTATGGCCCCAGCACTGATCCCTGTGGCACTCTACTCGTTAGAAGTTGTCATCCTGAAAATACACCCTTCCATCCCAAACTCTATCTTCTATTGGTTAGCCAATTCTTTTTCCATACTAATACACCACCTCCAAAACCATGGGGTCTTGTACTATTAAATAGCCTAATGTGTTGTACCCGATCACGTCTCCCTGTACCAGCATATTCAAGTCATCTTTTTAAGAACGGGAGAAGAAAGAAAATGGGGAACTATTGGCCAGTAAATACAATATTATAGACATCTAATCTTTTATGAAGGATCTAATATGATTACTCAGAGTCAGCAAGGATTTACGAGGTTGTAAGCAGTAAGATAGATAAAGGGGAAACAAATAAATGCAGTGCAATTGAATTTTCAAAACCAACACTGAATGAGAGAACATCAAAAGCTAAGTACACAGAATTAGGGCTCCTGAGATTTAGGGTAATATGTTACTGAAGCATGTTTTAAGGATGGGTTAATGGACAGAGAACAGAGAGTAGGAATTAACAGGACATTTTCAGCTTGGCAAGCTCAAATTAGTAGGATCAGTATTTGGACCTTAGCCATTTACCAGCAATATTAATGACCTGTGGGGCTGAGTGCAGCACATCTTTGTTTACTGACAAAACAAAGTTACCTGGGAAAGGAAGCAGTGAGGATGCGAGGAGGCTACAGAGGGATATAAACAGATTGAGTGAGTGGGTGAGAACAGATGGAATGCAAAATGATAAAGTGTGAATTTATTGACTTTGAAAGGAAAAATAAAAAAAAGTTTGCATTATTTGATTACGAGACTGGGAAATGTTTTCATTCAAAAGAACCTTGTGCGTGCATGATGGAAAGATGACATGCAGGCACGGTGAGAAATTGGGAAGGCAAATGTTATATTAGCTTTGTTGCAAACATATTGGTCTGACCTTCCCACTAAGCTGTGTGGGTTCATGGCTAGGCAACAATCGGGAATGTGCCACATGCAGAAAACATACAGGCAACATTTCCTTTAAATGTGTGCTTGCTCAGCTGAGCGGTAATATTAATGGGACTGTATAATACAACAAACTGAGTACAGCTTTCAGACGTTAGAGGGAACATGGAAGTCTAAGAGTAAAGAAGGCTTCCTACAATGGCACATTGATGAGGCCACACCTGAACTACCACGTGCAACTCTGGTCTCCATATGGAAGGACATATCGAAGGGAGTATGGCAAAGCTACACTAAATTACTTCCTGGGTTGAGGGGATTACCCTATGAAGAGAGATTAAGTAGATCAGGCCTGTATTCCCTGGTGATCTGGAAGAATGAGAGGTGATCTAGTTGAGTCAAATAGGATGACAGGATGGATGTCAATCTTTGGAATTCTCTCCCCCAGAGGACTGTGGAATCTCACTGTTCGAGTATATTTAAGACCAGAGGTTGATAGTTTTTGGGGTACTAAGAGAATTAAGGATGTGGGACTAATGCTGGAAGATGGAGTAGAGGTAAAATATCAGCCATGGTCATATTGAACAGTAGGGCAGGATTGTGGGGCCAAATGGCCTTGTTGTGCTCCTGTTTTATATGTTCTCATGAATTAAAATGGCCCAAGCCTCCCTTGGTGAGTTGTGTTGATGTTGCCATTTGTCGTGCAGGCTCCAAATTGAGCTTTCGATCCAAGTTAAAATTTGACCTTAAGTAGCTATTTTAAATCTAATGTAAGCACAGATGTTACTATTCGGATATAAATCCTCAAAGGTTTAACATGTTTATTCACCTAACATTCCTTGCCTGCCTTTTTAACATAGATTTTAACTCATGTAAAAAATTACGTTAATATAGAGTCAAACAACTCTGTGGAAACTGACCTTTCGGTCCAACTGATCCATACCGACCAGATATCCTGAATAAATCTAGTCCCATTTATCAGCATCTGGCCCATACCTCTCTAAACCCTTCCTATTCATATACCCATCCAGATGCCTTTTAAATGTTGTAGTTGTACCAGCCTCCACCACTTCCTATGGCAGCTCATTCCATACACTGACCACCCTCTGCGCGACAAAGTTGGTGCTTAGGTCCCTTTTAAATCTTTCCCCTCTCACCTTAAACTTGTGCCCTCTAGTTTTGGACTTCCCCACCCCAGGGAAAAGACCTTGTCTATTCACCCTATTCCATGCCCCTCATGATTTTATAAAGCTCCATAAAATCAGCCCTTAACCTTCAATGCTCCAGGGAAAATAGCCCCAGCCTATTCAGCCTCTCCCTATAGCTCAAACCCTTCAACCCTGGCAATATTCTTGTAAATCTTTTCTGAACCCTTTCAAGTTTCACAACATCCTTCCTGTAGCAGGGAGACCAGAACTGAATACAATATTTCAAAAGTGGCCTAATCAACCTCCTCCAGAACTTCCAATTCCCCGGTCCCCAACACCTCATCTTTACCATGGATGTCCAGTCCCTCTACACCTGCATTCCCCATGCAGATGGCCTTAAGGCCCTCCGCTTCTTCCTGTCCCGCAGGCCCGACCAGTCCCCCTCCACTGATACCCTCATCCGCTTAGCCGAACTCGTCCTCACACTCAACAACTTCTCTTTCAATTCCTCCCACTTCCTACAGACAAAGGGGGTAGCCATGGGTACCCGCATGGGCCCAAGCTACGCCTGCCTCTTTGTAGGTTACGTGGAACAATCCCTCTTCCGTACCTACACTGGCCCTAAACCCCACCTCTTCCTCCGTTACATTGATGACTGTATCAGCGCCGCCTCGTGCTCCCACGAGGAGCTTGAACAGTTCATACCCTTCACTAACACCTTCCACCCCAACCTTAAGTTTACCTGGACCATCTCTAACACCTCTCTCCCCTTCCTGGACCTCTCTGTCTCCATATCGGGCAACCACCTAGAAACCGATATTCATTTCAAGCCCACCGACTCCCACAGCTACCTAGAATACTCCTCCTCCCACCCACCTTCCTGCAAAAATGCTATCCCCTATTCCCAATTCCTTCGCCTCCGCCGAATCTGCTCCCAGGATGAGGCATTCCACTCCCGTGCATCTCAGTTGTCCTCGTTTTTCAAGGACCGTAACTTCCCCTCCTCGGTGGTCGAGAACGCCCTCAACCGTGTCTCCCACATCTCCCGCACCTCATCCCTCACACCCCGTCCACGCAATAAAAACCAAAAAAGAATCCCCCTCGTCCTCACGTACCACCCCACCAACCTCCGGATCCAACACATCATCCTCCGACACTTCCGCCATCTGCAATCCGACCCCACCACCAAAGACATCTTTCCCTCCCCACCTTTATCCGCTTTCCGGAGGGACAACTCTCTCCGCGACTCCCTTGTCCGCTCCACACTCCCCTCCAGCTCCACCACACCCGGCACTTTTCCCTGCAACCGCAGGAAGTGCTACACCTGCCCCCATACCTCCTCCCTCACCCCCATCCCAGGCCCCAAGAAGACTTTCCACATCAAGCAGATGTTCACCTGCACATCTGCCAATGTGGTATACTGCATCCGCTGTACCCGGTGTGGCTTCCTCTACATCGGGGAAACCAAGCGGAGACTCGGGGACCGCTTTGCAGAACACCTACGCTCGGTTCGCAACAAACAACTGCACCTCCCAGTCGCGAACCATTTCAACTCCCCCTCCCATTCCTCAGACGACATGTCCATCCTGGGCCTCCTGCAGTGCCACAACGATGCCACCCGAAGGTTGCAGGAACAGCAACTCATATTCCGCTTGGGAACCCTGCAGCCCAATGGTATCAATGTGGATTTCACAAGTTTCAAAATCTCCCCTCCCCCTACCGCATCCCAAAACCAGTCCAGCTCGTCCCTGCCTCCCTAACCTGTTCTTCCTCCCACCTATCCCCTCCTCCCACCTCAAGCCGCACCTCCATCTCCTACCGACCAACCTCATCCCGCCCCCTTGACCTGTCCGTCCTCCCTGGACTGACCTATCCCCTTCCTAACTCCCTACCTACACTCACCTTTCCTGGCTCCATCCCCGCCTCTTCGACCTGTTTGTTTCCTCTCCACCTATCCTCTCCTCTATCCCTCTTCTATCCGCCTCCCACTCTCTCCCTATTTATTTCAAAACCCCCTTCCCCTCCCCCTTTTCTGATGAAGGGTCTCGGCCCGAAACGTCAGCCTCTCTGCTCCTATGATGCTGCTTGGCCTGCTGTGTTCATCCAGCCCTGCACCTTGTTGTCTCGGATTCTCCAGCATCTGCAGTTCCTACTATCTCTAATCAATGTCCTGTACAGCCGCAACATGACCTCCCAACTTCTGTACTCAATGCACTGACTAATAAAGGCAAGCGTACCAAATGCTTTCTTCACCACCTGACTGCATGTGACTCCAATTTCAAGGAACTCTGAACCTGCACCCCAAGGCATTAAATAATAAATGAAATGAAACACCAGCTGAATGTGTTTAAAGTTTGTGCATTGTAAGTTGCAAACATTAATTTTAAACCAAAATATAAACACAATCATGCATAGTAAATTCTGTTGTTTTTTTTAATGAAATGTGAGCAGGAAGTTTAAACCATAGAATCTTCTACGAAAAGGCAGAGTTTGTTTCATATAGCTGTTGTAGTGTTAACTGTTACATACCTACAGACATGAAGAACAAACCATGAGGAATACTGTCCAGTCCAAGAGAAGTGAGCTGAACAAACTGAAGGCCAGTAGAACGGACTGTTTGAAAAGGTTCAATGGGAATATGCCTGAATTACTCCATAAAATAGAGGAAGCACATAAACAAGGCCGTTTCAGGAAGAAACCAATTGGCCCTTTAGGTAAGTCTCAGTATTTTGCAACATGGGCTTACCTAAAGTAGTGACAGAATGATTGCCTTTGATTTTCCTGTGAAATAACCATAATGTGTAAAGGTCCAGTATATTTGCAAACTAAAGACTAAAAGAAAATCATTTATAAAAACCATCATTAAGCTTGAATGCAGTTGTTTCTTTCTTTGTAAAATAGTTAGAATTTGGAGAGCTTCAGAAATTGAGAGGCTAGCAACGTTTAACACGAGCTTGTACCTTTTAAAGGGTTAAAACCCGAAAGAACCATGCATGGATGCAGCAAATCAGAATCTAAAACAGAAATTGATAGAAAAGCTCTGCAGGTCTGGCAGCATCTGTGGAGAGAAATCAGAGTTAACATTTCGGGTCAAGTGACCCCTCTTCAGAACTGTGCTGAGCTTTTCCAGCAATTTCTATTTTTGCTTCTTAAAGGGGAGATGCATTGTGAGTGGAGGACATGGTGGAGGTTGTTGTGATACTACTTCTGACAACATTGTAAAAGACATTTGGACAGTTATTTGGATTGGAAAGGTTTAGGGGGATTTGGGCAAAATGCAGACAATTGGGACTAGTTCAGTTTAGGAAACTTGGTTGGGGTGGATAAGTTGGGCCAAAGGGCCTGTTTCTGTGCTGTATACCTATATGGCTCTATGAAAGAAGTTGCAATAATGGCACAGTATGGGAAAGAGCAGGCTCCAAGATTTTTCAACACTAGCCTGAATATTTTGGTTGAGGGAGAGAGATGTGCTTTATCCATAAGGTGCAGGATGCCCTCCAGAGATCAATGCCAGGATTCAAGACAAGAGGATGCAGTGGTGTAGAAAATTCCATGATCTCACAGAACGGTCAAGGCCACCGAATCTAACGTCAATTATCACAATGCATCAACTACACAACATGCCTCATGCTGTTAAATGCATCATAGACATGCCACATACCTTCTAATGATCTTTATCAATGAGAGCTTTTACCTCATATTTATAGCTTCACCTGAACCCCACATGTTTAGCACTGCTGTAAGCCTCACATCTTGCTAGTTGGACATGCTTTTAGAATTTCACCATGGCAGTCACATCAACCCAATGGATTGCTCCGCAATCACTCACACACTTCCCTCTCTCTTGCAGGACAGGGTGGCACCAGGAAGGAGGCTTCATTCCCTTCTCTCTAAAGAGAGTGAAGCAGAAAGAGCACCCAACTGACTTTACCAGGAGAGTTGGAATTTCCTGTGGTACAGGGGAACATCAATAGCACATATATGGTTTTTCCTGGCAATATATCTCAATAGTGCATGTACCAAAATTGCAAAGGGTACCACTCATTCAAAATGCGGTTGGTGTGTGACAATGCCAATGCATCATGCTTGGAAATGCTCACTATCCTGGCATCAGATATGATTCATTAGTCCAGCACCAATCCACTTTATCGCCTGCTAACTTCAGCATAATGACTCATGCCCAGTGACATTCTCTGTGAGTTTGTTACCCCTGAAAGTTTGTGTGATGGCAATGTCAGAGGTGATTGTCAGATCAAGTATTTTACAAACTCAGCAGTAGCCTGTAGCTGTCAATCAGCAACTAGAATAGAATGGCTTTTATCTTTTAAACTCATCTTTTAAATTGTATTAGCGCAGACTCCATGCTGAAATGTCGGTTGTGTGTCTTTAAAGGAGGGTGCTAGTTGAAGTGTCAAGGTGGAAAATGCCATGCGTCTGCTCCCACACTCAGTCCTGGGGAGTCCCCTCCACTTCCTGCCGCGGTCCTCAGTCCCTCTCACTCCCCTTCTCTCACTCCCTGGATTTCATTCCAGCCCTCTGTTGTTATCTTTAAAGTGGGAGCGCTCTCCTGGCTCCTACTTTCACACCTCACAACCGAGGTTCTAAGCCCCACCTAGTGACAGAGGTTGGTTGGTGCCTTTGGTTCTAGATTTCAACCTCACTGTCCTGCTTCTGCCATGAGATACAGCCTGGTCAATTAAAACTCCATGGGTTAAATGTATTTTCAACATATATTTATACTATTTACATTTATATTGTATTGCTTCTGTATTTTAAGATTTTGTTTTATTTGGAAGGTTATTTTCATAGGATCCCTACAGTGTGAAGCAGGACATTTAGCCCATCAAGTCCACACCGACCCTCCACAGAGCATTCCACTCAGACCTACCCCCCTACCGTATTCCCATAACCCTGCATTTCCTATGGCTCATCCACCTAACCTGCACATTTTTGGACTCCAGGAGGAAACCAGAGCACCCGGAGGAAACCCACACAGACACATGGACAATGTGTAGACTCCACATAAAAAAACACTGTGCCTTCATTTTTCTTTCAGAATTAGGCATTTTAGGAACGTGTACCATTTCAACTTAATATCAAAGTCATTTTCTGCTGAGAAATATCCTGAAGTACCTGACAGGAAAGTATTTATTTTATATTTAGTGAGTAATTAAATTTGCAAGTTATTTCAGATACACACATGTGTGGTGCAACATTTCAATCTATATATTATATTTTCTGAGCGAGAAATGTCTAAATGAACCTCCCTATGGTTTTAATATGCGAACCTATGAATCACATAGAGTAGTTTCACTTGACTTTCAGGAATGGGAACTACAGCCTCAAGTCTGGACTTAAAAGTCCGAAAGTCAGAAAATTTAAGATAGATTTTATGAAAATGGATAAAAGGACATGAATAGAGGCAGGGCTAAAAGACAAAAAGGAAAAGAAATAAGTAGTGAAAAGAACAAATGCTGGAGATCACAGAGGGTCATACAGTATCCGTGGAGAGACAGCAAGCTACCATTTTGAGTCTAGATGACTCTTCATCAGAGCTGAAGTGGAGTGTAGAGGGGGCAGCATTTACCCAATAGTTGTGGAGGGGGGCAGGGTGTTGGGGTGGTGGGGTGTAAAGTTCTGGGGAGAAAGGATATTGATAGATCAGATTAAGTGATCAGAAAGTGAAAATGTCAGAACAGTGATGTGTCTAGCTGCCAAAACTGGGAAGAACAGACGGTCCCACTGGGTTGAGGTGAGGGGAGAGAGGACATGGTGACAAAGAATGTAACAAGAAAAGCTAAAAGAGAGGGAAGAAAGGGGAGTCGGTTCACAATTTGAACATGTTGAACTCAACAAATATTAAGTCCAGAAGGCTGTTAAGTGCCTAATCTAAAGATGAGATGTTAGTCCTCCAGTTAGTGTTGTGAGCAGTGAAGCATGTACATTAAATTAACTGACAGGAAGTTTTTCAATATGCCCCTCAGATGTTTGGTGTGAAATCTCCTGGTTTCCCTTTAATAAATGATTTGTGTGTCAGCGCAAATGTAACAAACATGGCAGCAGTGTGCTTAATACTATACATTTAAGGTAATATATATGGTATGTAATATGTATTTGGAAATACTGAAGACTAATTTTAATATGGAAACATTATTTTGTTTTAGGTGTTTGCTTCAGGTTGAAATATCCTGAGTTGGCTTTGGCGGTTGAAAGTTGTTTGAAAGGACTACTGCTTTCATTTTGCTGTGATAATTACAGAGATGAGCAGGTGCTACAGAGTTTGATGTCACAATGTTTCAAGTCAGGAAGACGACCCCAAATTAATGTGTGTGAGTTTTCAAGTCAAGTATACAACATAAAAGACAGGTGTGTATGAAGATTCTTAATTCTTAAATATTTCACTTTGCATTGACGTTTTCTCAAGCAGAACAATTGCAAAATAAGACATGAGATACATAAGATCAATTAGATATTATAAGACCTTAAGATATAGAAGCAGAATTAGGCCATTCAGCCTATTTGATTTGCTCTGTCATTCGATCATGGCTGTTATCTTTTCATCCCCATTCTCCAGCCTCCTCTCTGTAACCTTTGATCCCCTTACTAATCAAAAACTAGCTATCTCCGTCTTAAATACACCCAATGGCTTGGCCTTCACAGCCTTCTACAGCAGCGGGTTGCCCAGATTAACTATCCTCTGGCTGAAGAAATTCCTCCTCATCTCAGTTGAAAAGGGTCGTCCCTTTACTCTGAGGCTGTGCCTTGGCTCCTAGTCTCTCCCACTAGTGGACATACCTTATCCACATCCACTTTATTCAGGTTTCTCAGTATTCTGCAAGTTTCAATGAGATCCTCCTTCATCCTTTTAGCCCCAATGAGTACAGACCCTGAGTACTCAACTGCTGCACATCTTCCTCAGATAGGGGGTTCAAAACAGCTCACAATATTCCAATACAGTCTGACCAGAGCCTTACACAGCCTCGGAGTACATCTCTGCTCTCGAAATAAATACCAACATTACATTTGCCTTCCTAACTTCCAACTCAACCTACATGTTAACCTTAACATAACCCTGAACCAGGACTCACATTTCTCTTTGTGCTTCATTTCTGAAGCCTTTCCCCATTTAGAAAATAGTCTACACCTCTATTCTTGTTACCAAATCGCATACCTTCACACTTTCCCACATTGTGTTCAATCTGCCACTTCTTTGCTCACTCTCCTAGCCTCTCCAAGTCCTTCTGCAGTCTCCCTGCTCCCTCAACATTATCTGCCTTTCCACCAGTCTTTGTGTCATCTGTAAACTTAGCAAAAATACCCTCAGTTCCTTCATCCAGATCGTTAATGCAAATGTGAATAGTTGTGGTGTCAACACTGACCCCTGCGGAACTCCACTGGTCACCAGGTACCACCTTGAAAAGGACCCCTTTATTCCCACTCTCTGCTTTCTACAGCCAATCCTGTATCCATGCTAGCGCCTTGCCACCTAATACCACGGGCTCTTCTCTTTTTTAGTGACCTCCTCTGTGGCAGAAGCCTTATCAAAGGCCTTCTGGAAATCAAGATAGATTTTGTTCACTGGCTTCCTTTGTTTAATATGCTCGTTATCTCCTCAAAGGATTCTAACAGATTTTTCAGGAATGATCTCCCCTTGATAAAGCCATGCTGGCTCAGCCCTATTTTACCATGCACTTCCAAGTACTCCACAGTCCCATCCTTAATAATGGACTCTAAAATCTTACCAACGACTGAGGCCAGACTAACCAGCCTATAGTTTTCTGTCTTCTGCCTCCCTCTCTTCTTAAACAGAAGTGTTACATTAGCCATTTTCTTGTCCTCTGTGACCCTCCCTGACTCCAGTGATCCCTGAAAGATTATCAACAATGCCTTTGCAATCTCCTCAGCTATCTCCTTCAGAACTCAGGTGTGTAGTCCATCTCGTCCGGGTGATTTATTCACTTTCATGTCTTTCAGCTTCCCCAGCACCTTCTCCTTAGTGATGGCCAATGCACTCACCTCTGCCCCTTGACTCTCTTGAAGTGCTGGTACCGGTATCTTCCACTGTGAAAACTGATGCAAAGTACCTATTCAGTTCCTCCTTTACCTCTTTGTTTCCCATTATTACTTCTCCAGCCTCATTTTCCAGCAGTCCAATGTCCATTCTTGCCCCTCTTTTTTATTTTTTACATTTTTTTGTATATCTATAAAGCTATTGTAATTTTCTTTTACTAGCTAGCTTACCTTCATGTTTCATCATCTGCCCCCTTACTGCTTTTATACTTACCCTCTGCTGCTTTTTAAACTCTTCCCAATCCTCTGGCTTTTCACTAATCTTCCCTCCATTGTATGATTTTTATTTTGCTTTAAGGCTGTCCCTCATTTCCCTTGTCAGCAATGGTTGCCTCGTTCGCCCCTTTTTAACGTGTTTCTTCTTCCTTACGATAAATTTCTGCTGTGCCTCCTGAATTATCCCCAGAAACTCCATCGTCTTCTCTACTAGGCACCCTTCCAATCAGCTCTGCCCAGCTCTTCCCTCATTTCTTTATAATCACCTTTACTCAATTGTAATACTGTTACATCTGATTCCAGCTTCTCCCTCTCAAACTGCAGGGATTAAATTCTATCATATTATGGACACTGCCCCCTGGGGGTTTCCTTCACCTTAAGGCACCTAATCAATCTTCCTCATTCCACAGCACCAATTAAGATAGCTGTACAATTATTTGTATTCACTCATCTGCTTTGTCAGCAGGAGTTGGCAAAAGGCTGTGCTGTCCTTGTGGATGTGACATTATAATCGTGTATGGTAAGGTGTGTGTTCCGGCTCATAATTGTATAGCATTTGAGTCAATCAGACAACCATCCAGTCTCATGATAAAACATTGTGCAATGCTTGTGATTCCAAGCAACGTACCAGCGAAATGTTTAAACTATTACTCAACTTAACAAACTGCAGGGAAAAAGCTTTGACCTCAATGGTACTCAAGGTGATACTAAACAACTAAAGTCAGTTACGTCACAGGCTCCAAGCTGATTGGAAGTTTCATAGTAGGACTGTATCAAAATGATTACTGATTCTCTGGCTCTGATCTTGCTACAATCTCTTCATTGTTTTTGAAGCTTCAGTAGACAGACTAAACAAAATCCAAATTAACTTTGTGTTTTTTTTCTCTCTAAAGAGCTGTTCACCATCCAGATTTCCCAACAGTTTTTGAATCCTTAGAAATAAGCAACCCAGTGGTGGCAAACTGTTTCATCGATTTGAGGAACATTGAAAGAATCCTGATAATCAAAGTAGGCCAATTTTTGCAATTTCAATTCTGCAGAATTCAACTTTTTTTGTTTGAGGATGCTTATAATGGGGATAATGATTGAGTTAAACCATATTGTATTTTAGTGGTGATTGCATGGCAGAGCAAGGTTAACTTTGAACTATTTTATTTTCAAAACTAATTGCGTTGCTTTCTCACCCAGATGTGATCAACCATACTGAACAAAACTGTTGGTGGGGCAGTACTGATTTACTGGAGCATTTTTGAGAGAGATGTTAAACCAAAGCCTTACTTGCTGGTTAATTTGCCAAACATTAAATATCTCAAGGTATTGTTTCAGAGTAGAGCAGGAATTTTTCCCAGTATCATGGAAAATATTCTCCCTTCAGCCAAAATAAATGAAAATTGGATGCTAATCATTTTCTGTATCTCACTGCTGTTTACTTAACTTCAGATCTACATACTGCTAACCAAAGTAACAGCAGTGACTATATTTCAAAATAATTCAAAATCTTAGGGATATTGCAATGATGTGAAAGGTTCAAGTCTTCCTTCCTGCACTGCAGAGTTAGATAATTTAACTTTCAAGAAAGAAGTTATGATGAAAGAAAATTGCAGCTTGTGGATCTGTTGTATTTTGTACACAAAAATATTAGCCCCTGATCTTTGTCAATTTGTGTACGTTGATGGACTCCGCATAAGGATGCTATGAACCAACCCATCCTATCCCATACCGCTTTCTATTCCTCCCTCTCCCTGTGACCCTAGCCACAAAAACTTTTTCTCCTCTCCCCCCAGCAAATGGCACTTACCTGATACCTTGGTCCTCATAATCTCACATGTACTTCCAACATAGCTGCAGCCTTCTGGGTCGTGCTGTCAGATACAAGAGCTAACAACCTCTGACTGGGAAGTGCTCCTCTTTTATGGATTATAAACTTTGTCCCTCCTCCCCTTTACTTGGTATTTTTGTCAAATTGTTCTGATGAGTGTAATATATAAAGCTTTGAAAAAGTGCATCCTTTTCCAACAAAACTCAAATTTGTAAATCTTATCCTCTTTAAAGTTCAAGGGGGAAAGTGTATTTTGGTGAACTGCAATAGAGCAACTGAGGATTTACCCATATATAAAAAATATATTCTGATGGTTAATGAAGATTTCCTGAAGTGTACGCATTGTAAATGCAAATAATGTGGGAAAATGTGAGAAAGGGACACTGGAATGCCATATTCTTTTACAAAGTAGTTCTCTAAATTAAGATTCATTAGAATTATAGAGTTTTTACAGCATGGAACAAGGCCCATTGGCCCAATGTGGCCGGATTTGTCATCAATAATCCATCAATTCTAAACCCATTTTCTAACACATGGCCCATACCCTTGCATGCTATGGTGTTTCAGGTGTTCATCTATATAGATTTTAAATGTTTAAGGGTTCCTACCTCTACCATCCTTTCATGCAGTGAATTCCAGATAGCCACAACTCTCTGGGTTAAATAAGTTTATCCACAAATCCCTCTAAACCCCCAGCTCCTTACCTTTAAACTGTGCTGCCTGGTGTTTAACCCCTCTACAAAGGGGGAATGTTTCTGCCTATCTACCCCCATCTATGCCCATTAGAGATTTGTACAGCTCAACAGATTCCACCCACCCCCCCACCCCCACCCTCCACAGCCTTCTCTACTGTAAGGGAAACAACCCCATTATAGTGCTCAGAAAAATCTGATGATTTAAAAAAAATAAACTTGAACTGCCTCATATTCTTGCTTTTTGTATTTCATTTCATTTGATGAGTCTGCGCAAATCTTTTCCTCCTGAATTTCACAAAATTGTCCAGGATCATCTACAAGACTTTACAACAGTTCCAAGCCCCACTTCTTTATCTCTTCCTTCTGGAGCTCTGACAATCACTGAGGCTCCAGATAGAATTTTTCTCAGCTAGGACCAGAAGAATTTAAATTGCGAAATTTAATAACTGGATTCATTGTAAAATAATTGAGAAGCAATTCAAATGATAAAGAGACATAAAAGGAAAAAAAAATGATGTGGAAACTTTATTTTTGTTTCTATTAAGGAGGTTAATTTTCCCCTGCTCCAGAAGGTAACAATCTGTTGGGCTGTGTTATAGGGATATGATCCTCCTTGTGTTGTTTCCCTATATGTTCTGTACCTGGGCAGTATTCCACACACACTGCTTAGGAGGAAAATGATCACTTAAATACCAAATGTAGCACATGTCAGTTTGTTAGCAGCTGTTAAGTTTGCTGCAAAATAGCTTCAGCTACAATCCCAATATCCAGTGAAACAAAAGAAACAGGTTGCTGGTATTTTTCCATCATGTGCAATGATCAGAACAATGGTTAAACAAAGTCCATCATTAGAGATCATACTAATATTGTAAGTGGATGTTTGGGTACCTGAAATTCTATTTAGGAATGAGGATAATTTAAAAGAAATGTTTGGTATGTTTTTATTAATCGAGGCTCAGGAAGCAGATCCAGAGTTAAATAAATTAACACCAACAGCTCACACTGAAGCTGAGGCTTAGGGGTGATATTGTGATTAGAAACAGTTCTGATGAGGAAGTGGAGACATCCCCTCAGACTTGTGGATGAAGAATTTGTTAATTGAATAATGGTACTGCCAGATACTGGAAGGGGATGTTGCAAGTAACACATGAAAGTCCAATGGCAGTACCTATAGGAATATGGAAAACTCAAACATCAGAAAACAGATGTTTTACAGAGCCAAGACTTCATAAAGATGTAGCGCAGTGCTGTAAAATATATCAGACTTGTCAGAATGTAGGAAAAACTCAACATGTAATTTGATCCCCATTACTAGTTGGACGACCATTACTGAAAATGCAGGTCGTTAGTGTATTCTTATGATTATGGATCTAACAACCTGATTTCCCAGAAGCTATTCTTTTAAGGACAATTACAGCTAGGGAAGTAGTGGAAATGTTAACTCAGTTTTTCACTGGTTATGGGCTACCAATTGAGAAACATTCTGCTCAGTGTTCTAACTTTATCTAATGTTTGCTAGGAAATCATTAGCAGTTTGTCTGGAAAACAAATATAATTGCTTGCATCATCCACAGATCCAGAGTTTTGGAGGGATACTATCAAACTCTCAAAACCAAAGTTAAGGTGTACTGACACAAATACCCACAGGACTGGGACAAAGGAGTAGATTTCTTCCCCTAATCTACCAAAGATTCTCCAAATTAATCTACTGGGTTTAGTCCATTTGAATTAATTTATGGCTATGAAATTAGAGGTCAAATAAAACTGATTAAGAAAAGTGTTTTGAAATATAAAGGAAAATCCTCAATGTTGGATTACTTGTCCATATTTTTAGAATGACCCAAGGCACCTCAAGAGCATTTGGAAGCATCACAGGTACAAATGAAAGAATGGGCAGATAAACATTTAGCAACCAAAACAGTTCAAGTAGGAAATTAAGTATTTGCATTCTTGCCTTTGCAAGGCCAACTTCTGAACGTGAAATTTAGTAATCCATATAAAGTAATTAAATTGTTAGTAAAGTGAGTTTTCAGATCAATATTCTTTTGTCACAAACATGTTGAAAAAGTATTACTGTAGAGAAGAGGACAAGGAGGGAAAAAATGTGTCAAGTGGCAAGAGTAATGGAAGGTGACAGAGATAAGGGGGTGGACAGTTCTTGAAGCAAACTTCCTACAATTCAATTAGCTAACACAGAGATACTGAAACAAAGACAGAAATTGCTGGAACAAATCAGGTCTGGCAGCATCTGTGGAGAGAACTTAACTCTACTTTCTCTCCACAGATACTGCAAGACTGGCTGAGTTTCTCCAGCAATTTCTGATTTTGTTTCAGATTTCCAGTATCTGCAGTTCTTTATTGCATTGTATTATTTTGGAAATGTTGGGGCAATTAGGCATTATGTTCACATATTTAGAGAAAGGGCAATGGGAGGCTCTTGTAAGACTTTTTGGAAAGTATAAGGTAATCTGTAGAGCTACACCTGGATGTACTAAAAGTCTTAGCAGACCATAGGGCTGCTCTCTCATTAGAGAGAGATGACTGGGTGTGATTTAACCTGAAGGTCATTACACCTCAGTAACAGTTTGAGAAGGAGAGTTCTTCATGGTAATGTCAGTGGGTGTGGGAATTGAACCCATGCTATTGGCATCAAGGTGCAAGGATTAGCCAGGCATGATGCAGACATAGGAGAGTCTTTATCAATTGAGCCCAGGAAAGCAAGATCAGCTGGAAACAGTGATTCAATACATGCTGGGAATTCACTCGACTGAACCTAGTCAAAACAGATGGATTGTGTTAGTTCCTAAACCAAGTGGATCAATTAAACTCTGTATAGATAAGAGACAGGTAAATATGGTAACAAAGTTAGGTTTGTACCCAATTTAACAGTTGGAAGACTGCATAGATAGTATTGGCCGTGCCTCATTCCTCTCTAAGACTGATCCATTACACCAAGGATTAAGGAAATATCCACTTATGTCTAAACCGAATAGGTTGTGCCAATGTTGAGTGATGCCATCTGGGTTAAAGAGCCCCCTAGTAAATTCCAGAGGCTTATGAATCAAGTCATAGCTGAGGTTTATAAGTTTGTAATTTATTGAGGCCATATTGTGGAATAGAATGTTATTATTCACATTGCTGGAAAAGATGATGTAATTGCACTGGCCCAAGTGTAAAATATTGGAATAAGTTAAAGCTTTTAGAAATGCCAAGATTCTATAACGAAGAAGAAAGGATTGTAAGCCTTGTGTTTTGTTGTATGTGTATCACATATTTAGTGAGGAAACATATATTTGAAATGGCATTTCATTTTTATGTTTCTTAATTTCCAGCATGCCACCCCAGTGAGGCATAACTCACCACTGTTTTCCTTGTCCTTATTACAATGAAAGAGCCCCCACTATCACTACACCATGGTTTTTGCACCTTTATGCGAGTTTCCCATGCTAATTTATTCTTTCAAATATTTCTCACTAATTGAAACTATAGAATACACTCAGTAGTATAACGTTACCTTTATCATTCCTTAAAAGTCTGTAAAAATACATGAGGGAAAATAAATGCTACCATCACAATCACCAGGATTTGTCTCTCAGATCAGAGATAGTAGGAATTGCAGATGCTGGAGAATCTGAGATAACAAGGTGTAGAGCTGGATGAACACAGCAGGCCAAGCAGCATCAGAGGAGCAGGAAGGCTGACATTTCGGGCCTAGACCCTTCTTCAGAAATGGGGGAGGGGAAGGGGTTTCTGAAATAAATAGGCAGAGAGGGGCAGGCGGATAGAAGATGAATAGAGGAGAAGTTAGGTGGAGAGGAAACAGACAGGTCAAAGAGGCGGGGATGGAGCCAGTAAAGGTGAGTGTAGGTGGGGAGGTAGGGAGGAGATAGGTCAGTCCAGGGAGGACGGACAGGTCACGGGGGCGGGATGAGGTTAGTAGGTAGGAAATGGGGGTGCAGCTTGAGGTGGGAGGAGGGGATAGGTGGGAGGAAGAACAGGTTAGGGAGGCGGGGATGAGCTGGGCTGGTTTTGGGATACGGTAGGGGGAGGGGAGATTTTGAAGCTTGTGAAATAGACCACAAAGTCCCGCCCTCAGTGGTCGAGAACGCCCTCCACCGTGTCTCTCGCATTTCCCGCAACTCATCCCTCACACCCCGTCCCCGCAATAACAACCAAAAAAGAATCCCCCTCGTCCTCACGTACCACCCCACCAACCTCCGGATCCAACGCATCATCCTCCGACACTTCCGCCATCTGCAATCCGACCCCACCACCAAAGACATTTTTCCCTCCCTACCCTTATCTGCTTTCCTGAGGACCACTCTCTCCGTGACTCCCTTGTCCACTCCACACTCCCCTCCAGCCCCACCACACCCGGCACTTTTCCCTGCAACCGCAGGAAGTGCTACACCTGCCCCCATACCTCCTCCCTCACCCCCATCCCAGGCCCCAAGAAGACTTTCCACATCAAGCAGATGTTCACCTGCACATCTGCCAATGTGGTATACTGCATCCGCTGTACCCGTTGCGGCCTCCTCTACATCGGGGAAACCAAGCGGAGACTTGGGGACCGCTTTGCAGAACACCTACACTCGGTTCGCAATAAACAACTGCACCTCCCAGTCGCGAACCATTTCAACTCCCCCTCCCATTCCTCAGACGACATGTCCATCCTGGGCCTCCTGCAGTGCCACAACGATGCAACCTGAAGGTTGCAGGAACAGCAACTCATATTCCGCTTGGGAACCCTGCAGCCCAATGGTATCAATGTGGATTTCATAAGCTTTAAAATCTCCCCTCCCCCACCGCATCGCAAAACCAGCCCAGCTTGTCCCCGCCTCCCGAACCTGTTCTTCCTCCCACCTATCCCCTCCTCCCACCTCAAGCCGCACCCCCATCTCCTACTGACCAACCTCATCCCGCCCCCGTGACCTGTCCGTCCTCCCTGGACTGACCTATCTTCTCCCTACCTCCCCACCTACACTCACCTTTACTGGCTCTATCCCTGCCTCTTTGACCTGTCTGTTTCCTCTCCACCTATCTTCTCCTCTATCCGTCTTCTATCCGCCTCCCCGCCTCCCTATTTATTTCAGAACTCCCTTCCCCTCCCCCATTTCTGAAGAAGGGTCTAGGCCCGAAACGTCAGCCTTCCTGCTCCCATGATGCTGCTTGGCCTGCTGTGTTCATCCAGCTCTATACCTTGTTGTCTTTCTCTCTCAGATCATCTGCTTTTGTACGAAACTAGCTGTTGTTTAAACTATTTTTCTTCTGGGGAGAAAATTTGCCATGTTTACATGCAACCAATTTTATATGCCAAACAAATTTGAAAAATCCTATTTCATACAGATAAAATGTTATTTCAGCTTTTTATTCATTCTCTCAATCATATAAGT